GTCTTCACTTAATTTTTTATTTCATGTGTGTGGGTTACTTTATTTATACAGTGTATATAGAGTTTTTGTACTGAATGTTGTCTGGGAACGGAAATGGTTACTTTTCTTATGGAAGATTTTCGCGTTGTAATATTGGGGTTTGAGTTAATAGCAGATGAACTCCAAACACAGATCCCATGAGATATGGATACGTAAGTGAGTGGTGATGTTGATTGTAGATTGGGGGACAGTATTGTTATTTTGTTGTGAGCTTGCTGACTACTTTGGATACCTTTTTTTGTGTGTTGTATGTGTGTATTTGAATTTAGTCTGTTATTAATATGCAAACCTAGGAATTTTCAATTTTGTTTCAGAGGCCCGGACTAAAGTAAACTCTCAGTCTTTGAAACCAAGAGTTTACAAGACTTGATGTTGTTAAGGATTTGTTGTGGTGACTTTTGATTAGGTATAGCTATACATTTAAAGGAGTGACCTCAGCTTTCATTGTGTTGTAGTTGGCTTGGAAGGTCATTGTAGTCAGTGGTATGAAAAGGTTTAATTAGGTCAATAAACAGACCAATCTAGTGTTATTTTGTGTAGATCAGGTCAGGCATTTTAATATTGGCACCATTGGTGCTCCATTTTGTCTGCCTTAGACACTTGAACGTCTGTATATTTTATATCTCCCCCCCCCCCATGTATTTTTAATCTGTATTATTCAAAAATGATTAGTTACAATAAGTAAATAAATGGAATAAATATTTAAATTATAACTTTTTATTGTGTGCTTATAAACGCATATTGGTATTTGAACATTTCCTAAACAGGACTGATTTTTATATATATATACTGTATGTGTGTGTATATATATATATATATATATATATATATATATATATATATATATATATATATATATATATATATATATATATATATATATATATATTTATATATATATATATATATATATATATATATATATATATATATATATAATATATATATATATATATATATATATATATATATATATATATATATATATATATATTATTTTATTTATTTATTTATTTATTTATGTATTTTATAATAATTTTATTGTCAAACCTCTCTCTAAATATATTATATACCAACTATTCCTCCGAATAGACAGTACGTTTTAATTCTAATTGTAATAAGTTCATTCCTGACTGTCTGCATAGTACATAAATACACTTGTTGACCAAACCACACATTAGAAAGTGAAGGGATGACGACGTTTCGGTCCGTTCTGGACCATTCTCAAGTCGATTGTGAATGGTCCAGGATGGACCGAAAGGTCTTTGTCCCTTCACTTTCTATTGTGTGGCTTTGTCAACAGTCGGTTGTGATTGATGAATACTAGGTTACATTACTTACAGCATATTGTGGTTCAGTGGTTTAAGGTATGTACTTGGGAGTACCCCATGGTGCAGGTTTGAATCCTCCACATGACTCCAATTGATTTTCTCACTGATTCATCCTGTTAATGTGATTTCTTTGTCTACGAACTAATAATTAATTATACTCTAATTATAATAATACTAACGAGTCACGAACAATCAAAATTGATAATATACAGGTGTTCCTAACAGTGGCATACATGACTTACTTGGTTTTGTTTGTGTCGTGAAAGGTTTCATTAGTAATGGCACTATAACTATATATATTTTGTGTGTTTAGCCACAGTAACATTTAGCCATTAGGCCACTTGCATTAAATGAATAGAACTTCATCAGAAAAAATGCTTACTTTTGTGTTGGGTATATTGTACATGAAGAACAAAAATACAGCATATTGAATATTTTTGGTGAATTACGATATGATGCTGTATTGTTTTCGTACGATACATTTCTGGTTGCTTCGCAGTTGTATTCGTTCAGTTATTTTGTACCTTTTATGATATACATCAGGCATAATGATCGTCAATCATTTCCACACACACACACACATACACATGTCCTTTTAGGGTCCTTTTAGGAGCTCTGTCTCTTCATATATGTAATGATAAGAGATAAAGTAATATATTTTAATGTTTCCTAATGTACCAGATACTTTTGAGGTCACTAAACCTCCCAATGTGTAAAACAAAGTAGGTAGGGACTACATACTGTTTATGGAATTGGGATGCTATATTGCCATATACTGGTGTACTGTTTTCTTTAACCCCTAAACTGTGCTGCTATTTAAAAGTACTACTACATCAGAGTGCATATTTAAAAATAGATAACAAATCAATTGGACAAAAATTGCATAAGGTAATTGTAGCACTTTTAGGGTTAACTACTTTCTTATGACATTGAGCTTTTTAAATGATCTTGGGTATGTATTAAAGGTTAATTCATTCATGCACATATACCGGGAACACCGTGTGGGAATTAGCTCCATATATTGGACACAGAAAATTTTGTCAATAAGTTGATAAATTTATTATAGGCACCGATGTACAGTATTTCATTACTTTTTGGTGATGTAAGTTTTATTTTACTCTCAAGTACATTTTATTTTATTTTATTTTACTGACCATCAGAATGTTTACATAATTATTGATGACTTACCAATAATGCTCGTTCTACATATATATACACACACACATACTATGTCGTGTTTTACTTATTTACTGATTAGTTTACTTCATTTTTGACAGTACCGTATATTTATTCACTTTTGAATGTGTTAGAAGTTGCATAATCCTAATTGCATGGCTTTGAATATGCATTACAGCTTGCTTTTTTATAATTGACCTCTGCATGAGAGTGCATGAAATAAAGTGATGCTCGGGTTAATCACAGCTTGGATATTATATTTACATACGAAATATCTCTCATTATCGTAGTTAGTTTTTTTGCTTCATCTATTTGGTTTTACAGTAGGACGTTACATCTTGTAAACCAAGTATTATTCTGGTGACCTGTTTCTAGTTTGTGAATGTTGTAAGAACTGTTGGTTGGCTCGCTTTCCAACATTGGTTACTCATGTGCATACATTGATTACAACAAAATAGTTTGTTAAATATTATTCAGAAGAATTAACTCTTTGTGCAAAATTTTTATGGCTCGTTGACCAGACCACACACACTAGAAGGTGAAGGGGCGACGACGTTTCGGTCCGTCCTGGACCATTCTCAAGTCGATTGAGAATGTTATTGTGACATTCACGTTACAATAAAGTGATGAGTCACGTTATTGTGACTCACCGCCTGCTTTTTATGGCTCATTTCTTGTGGTTTGGCTTTGTTTATTTGCTTCAGTATTGGCTATCATCCAGTGGGCAAAATATGCACGAGTAATGTTAACTCAGTGTACAATCAACGTCGATAGTGTTAATTCAACGTTTAATTAACATCGATAACTTTGATTCAACATTGAATTCACATTACTGGTGCATATTTTGCCCACTGGGCAAACTAGACTATCAAGTCAAAGATTGTTAATTAAGGTTTATTAAAAAAAGCATAATCTAGCTGTCATATTGATTAGTGCATAAAATTCAGTTAACAAATACAAAAATATACTTCATGAAATATTTGAAGTTATTTGTGGTTGCATTACATTTTGTTTAATGTTAAATATTGTGTAAGAAAAATTTCAAAGACAAGTAGTTGTGGTATTTAAAGGGCTGAACATCCAGAACACAAATTTATAGGAAAATGGCAGGAGACTGATAAAAAAACTTTATATAAGATGTAGAAATTTTAATAATGAAAGAATACATATATATATACTCAGAAATCTTAATGATGAAAGAATACATATATATACTCTACCTTAGTACAATAATCAAACTATTTTAATTATAATTAATAAAGTTTAGTAATGCAAATAATTCCATTTTTGTAACGTAACTGCACATTACGTAGTGAATAATCTTTCAATGTCTGCAAGGTCACTTGACCCATTTATACATTGTTTCAAATGTATAGCATTCATAATTGTTGATGTTTATTACCCTTTGTAAATATTATGTATGCATATGATAATATTTATTATTAACAATTGACATTCATCACAAGTTGGTATTTATTGAAAGTTAATCAAATGTACAGAATGATTTACTGTTCTCTATCTAGCAACATGTCACCTAAACTACATGGATATCTAGCATACCATATGTAGGTGAGTTTTTATTTATAGGATTATACAGTATTGTTATATTCTAAGACATACTTCATGAATACAGCTGTTGCAGCCTAAGATTTGATGCACAGTTTTCATACATCCTAATTCTGTTAGCAGACTACATTCTTAATTCACATAAATATTTTAACTTCCTTTTACTAAGACTATATCATATTAGAACTGTATCCGAAAATATGTTTGGCATTTTAAATGTGTTATTCTTCAAGCTCTTTACTTAACTTACGCATATGTTCAACTTATTTCCAGTCTAATCAAGTGTATAGCCATTTTAATTCTAGATTTCTCCATCAAAAATGACTTTGATAGATATATATATATATATATACTGAATATATATTTATAATCTTTTTAGTATATTTACATCCTCAGATAAGTCTATTCAGTATTCAGCAATATCTGTTCTCAGAAAACTGCAAAGACTCAGAAATGGAACAATTTGCATGCAAGATCCTGGAAATTAAGTAGGAGAGCATTGAGTAGTTCATTGTCAAAATAATTCATTTCGAAAGCTTTCAAAATATTTCCTGGGGCAAATGACAGTGATGTATCAATGATTCATCACTGATCCATTGTAGATTTAGTGTTGATCAAACGTTGATCCTACTTAACGTTGATCTGGCATAGATTTAACGGTGATCCAGTGTTGATTGAACATTACTCTAGCATATTTCCCACTGGGGATATGACACCACTAATATATAATAAATCATCCAGAGAATAAGAATACTATTGCTGTCTGGAAGTACTTGATTGTCTCCTACCTAATTAAACTATGAACCATTAGTATTACATAACTTGATTTGTAATACGAGAACAGACTCTATATCTATTCTAAGAATTAAGGCGAAGGTCTTATTACAGGTTGGAAGCCACTTCTGTGCCAGATTGAAGAATGCGATGGCGATGGCACTAATGAAGCTGTCAAAGTTTGCCTTGACCATGCCGTGTGTCTGGGAGCCTGCCCTGACAACCCGCCTCCTCTTTATTTGTGCATTGACTGTGTAGAAGATATCAAGAGAGAACATAGCACAGTGGAGTTTTTTGATATACTTATGCCAATGGCACAAGTTTCGGCTACTTGTGAGAACAAGGTACATATTGCATGTTTCAATTGTTACATAAGGTTTAAACCCGTCTTTGCATAGGAATTATGTTGGGAAGGAAAATCAACACTGGCAAGAGGCATCTTAGAAGGCAAGAGGCATCTTAGGAGGCAAGAGGCATCTTAGAAGGCAAGAGGCATCTTAGGAGGCAAGAGGCATCTTAGAAGGCAAGAGGCATGTCAGGAGGCAATGGTCTCAATGGCAGGGGTTTCTGACTTAGGTCTTCCTTGTACTAACATGAACACAATACAGAAATTTTGAGAACACCCAGGAACACATTGAGCTGTTACAAAATCATTAGTATAAAAACCGAGTTACGTATTAAATTTTAAAAGAAGCTGAAGGGGAACCCAAAGAAGGGAGCTAGAATTTATATAAAATATTAATTGAAGGCTTCACTTTTGAATTATTTCTATTTGCAATAAAAATGTGCCAATATTTCTGGTAATTTCAGAACTGCCGATCCACTGAAAAGAATGCTATAGCCACATGTTTTAGCATGGAGTGTGCAAGCTACAACAGCAACAAGCCTATACGATACTGTAGTCAGTGCAACAACATCCGACACAATAACAGACGCGGCACTGATCACGTGGTCCACACCACCATTGCATCACCTTGGACAATGGAGCCACAGATGCAGAATTATATTATTGAAGCTATTGTCAGGTAAATTAGGAATTAGATTTATATAACATTTTTGTGTTATTTATTATTTGATAATTTATTACGATTTAAATCCGCTTTAAATCCAGTCACTGTGGCTCTGTTATAACTAGTAACAGTGGCTCTGTGAACTTTAATATCTTATATTTCATGAGCACCACTGAAAATGTATTCTTTTTCTCAGTCTTCTTAATGAGGCTCAACCATTTGGAGATAAAACAAAATGCAAGGATCACGACCGTCTCAACAGGGCTGGACTCCTCGACGATATTGATAAGGTTAGTTAAGTCCCAGCTGAGTACTGTTCATGGTTTTATTAATAAGAAAGGAAATTATGAGGAGAAAGCACTAAATCAGTATGACTATATTTCTTGGGAAAACATATGAGGGGATAAGAAGCTGGAATATGAGGATGGAGACAAGGATGGGTGAGCAACCATTCTTGCCATAGGGGATCAAACACCAAACCTGCGAGAGGCGATGCCGTCGCTGTACCAACTAGTCCATTTTGCTGAATGGGCTCTAATATGTGAAAACTTACTTAAAATTCTTAGTTCAAAATACATGACTCCGTGGTGTAGTGGTAAGACACTCGCCTGACGTTTCACAAGCGATTTGTCATGGGTTCGTATTCTGGCCAGGGAGGATTTTTTGGGCGCAAATCCTTAACTGTAGCCTCTGTTTAACTCAACAGTAAAATGGGTACTTGGTTGTAACAACGATTCTTCGTGGGGGTCGTATTCCAGGGACCTGCCTGAAACGCTACGCATACTAGTGGCTCTACAAGAATGTAACAACTCTTGTATAAATCTTGTATGTATGTATTAGTTGAAACAAAGTCATATCTATTATTATGTAGATTTCTCTTTAAATGTCCACATAGCTTAACACTTTCACATTTTGATGATTCTAAAATTCATCATCTGATTTGCTATTCATAAACATTTGTATATTCATGTCTATCACGCATAATCTATTATAAATACCCTTTGTTTTATCTATTCTCTACAGAATTCACTTGCAAACATTTTGACATCAAATTTATAGTTATAACCCAACAAATAACTTAGAAAAATGTAAAAATATTGTACTGTAAACATTTTTCACATTGCTGAGCAGCCCGTGAGGGAGGCCTGGAAGCCTAGAGCATTTACGGTCAGAAACTCACAGAGAGGCCGGACTGCCAAAGTAATTACGTCTATGTCTTTAAGGGTTAAACTAATTATATAATCGATATCATTATAAACAACAGAAAACTGCTTGAAGCATTACAAGTGATTTTTTTTTTTTTAAATAAACTTTTATCAGCATTATCATGGACATTATTGTTGTCGTTGTCTAAATTATTGTTACAGTATTTCAGTTAGACATTATCATTTGAGTATATTGTGAACACATTTTTATGTGCATAAATTAGTAAAATATTGAAATATTTAATTTATGGGTGAGAATGAATGGTGTTATGTGAACGAGCAATGTATAAGTATAGAATACAGATTCCTTAAAATAATATGTGAAATGAGAGAATTGTTGGGTGCGGGAATATATACCGTACCATGTGTTAGGACATATGGTATGGTCATGTGTGATATCATGTGTTGGTAGCCATGGTATATTATGTATTGTTGATACATGAGGTTAATAATATGTATCTTGCTCTTGATGGACTTGTAGTCTAGTTCTCAAACCCATTGTCAACATTACATAAACTGTGTAACTAGCTTATCAAGATTGTTACTTGCTTAGCTAAACAAATTTTTTAGTTTAATTCCTGAGCCCATTATGTGCCTCTGTAAGATTTTCTGCAACCACCCACAGGATAGGCAGTATAATAAATGAACTAAACTAAACTCAAACGGACTCTCAAACAGGGTGAAGGTCTAACCCCAGAAGAGAGCCGTTTACTGAGCCGTTATGGAGTGTGGCTGGTTGTGGGGTTGTGTGCTCCAACCCCAGAAACACCCGTGGAGATGCTGGGCCGTATCTTAGCAGCTCTCTGCCATTGGTTTAATGCCACACAATATCTTCCTGATGGTTAGTGTTTGTGTATTTTGTTTAAAGTTCATATGAAGTGCTGTATTCACTAACTTAAGGAAGCGATATGAGAATAGACAACAGTACAATTTCCAGATATAATTGACTTGAGAATGGTCCAGGACGGACCGAAACGTCGTCGTCCCTTCACCTTCTAGTGTGTGGTCTGGTCATCAAGTGCTGTATTATTATGTTTATCACTTTTTCATTATCAATGTGTGTATTGTTTTCCACTGTGTATATATGGAATTGTTTACATTCCACAAACACTGAATTAACATTAATCTTGGATATTATGTCCACTGAAAGTACAGATTTGTATAATGATAGTACATTATGCATCACTGAACAATCACATTAGTCACATATTGTATTATGTTTGATATCCTTTAGTGATCTTAACTGTGTAAGGCATAATACATACTTTTCCAGTAGCCTTTTCCATATCCAGTGAGAGGTGAAATGGTGTGCACATAACAGTGGAATATGAAATACTTATCAAAATGTTAAAATTAGAGACTTGGTTGGCAAGGTTGACTGACATTGATGCGCATAGCACAGCTGAACATGTATTTGCCATGTTGTGCCTTTCTAGAATTATATATCAAGGGACAAAACACACTTGAGTAGAATTTAATAAACATTGCATCACTGTTAAATTAACATTTAACATGTTAATAGATGAGGCTGTGTTTAACATCAATGTTAAATTAACATTGAGTAAGTGTTTCATCAATGTTGGTTTAACTTTAAATTAGCATTCAGCCAGTGCTTTATCAACCTTGATTTAATGTTATGTACCCAGTAGGCAAAACCTGCTCGATTCAGCAGTGACTCAACGTTGTTTGCCCAACATGTGCCCATTGGGAAAATGTTGTATGCCCAGATATGCCTGGGGGAAAGTATATTCTACTGCACGATGGGTACAACTATACAAATATGCCCATTATAAAGCCTGTTGCTATAATCAAGTCTTTTATCATATTTCTTGTTGCGTATAAATATGAAACATATAATTTATTTATTGTATTTGAATATACTGTTTATCTCCATCAAACTTCATGTACAGACACTTGTTAGTGAATAACTTAATAATTTTTTTGCTTTCTAATTTATGAATGATTTTGAATTTACAGTATAATGAACACTGAAATATTTAACAGCAAAATTATTAGCAATTACTAAATATTTTGTGAAACCAACTCATTCTACTTCTATGAAAGACAATATTCATATGTCTGAGAGTTAGAGACCTGACGTTTGTGGTTATCCTCACACAACTTTCCACGGTGAAGTGTGATAGTATGGGAAGTGTCACAGGAAGAATGGGGTGGCTCTCATACTCCTCTTTAAATAGGATTGGCTCCTTTTTTGACACCCAACAACAAATATGAAATCGGCTATGGGGTTTGGTTCCCCATAAACCATTCTTTTTTATTGGAACATTCTACAATGAAATAATGCCAAAATTGAGAGCAAAAATAATCTACATTTTCACTGGCATCTAAAATATATTTATACTATATTCAATATGTATAAAACAATTTATAATGTTTCATTCTATCAACTTTCAAATGGTTTAATTGTAATTAATGTTTTAGATCAACAAGGGACATCGATTGAAAGGCTTAAATCGGAAAATATCCACAACTGGCTTCAAGATGTATGCAAGACTCATTTTGAGGTGTTTGTAGCCTGTCTCATGCCTCATCCAGTTGAATATGCTCGAGTTGGGGGTCACTGGTATGTGCTAGTGGTTCCTTTTTTGACTCCTCTACCTATAACATTTTACTAAATCTTGTTTTCATAGCACAGTATAGTCTAGATTTTTAAGTTACATTTTAACCTCTATGTGAAAGAAATTAGTCAACACTTAAATTTTGTTTTTTAATTGTTGCAGATGACAGCACAATGAGTACTCACATTGAGAGACAATGAATGTTTCACACTTTGCTCACTCCATTACATTAGACATTTGAAACAATTTGTGTCTTGATCTGAAAGTGGTGCAGCAAGCATATAGACAGACCGAAGCTTTATACGTAACAGCTTGTACAAGTCTGGTCATTTCTGGCTGAACTGAACAGGCATACAGCAGTGTAGATCAAACTTTCATATTTGGATGTAAATCTTTAAACATTTATCGCTAAGTACTTAAAATCTTTTAACATAAAAGATAGAAATATTTGTATGTTATTCAAAAGCTGTAATGAACTGCATATTGTTTATGGTTGATTTGTGAAACAAATTACCCGGAAACAATAAACTTGAGATCATTTGATTGTTTCAAGTGTAGGTAGACATTTTTATGAAAAATTCTGGGTGAGTTATAAATAGGAGCTGCCTCATATGGGCCAATAGGCCTTCTGCAGTTTCCTTTATTCTTATTCTCATGTTACATTCCTATTGCAATTATAACTTAAACCTCTTTCAGGGATACCCTGGCAACCCGTACTGACCATATCAAGGAAGGGTTCAACCGGTTATTTTGCTTGGTACCCTATGAATTAATAACAGTTCAAGTGTGGGATCGTGTTATGCCTCACTGGATGGAAGCCATTCATAATGAAATACCTGAGGAAGAACTCCCCGAACTTAAAATTACACTTAGGTAAATTTGCTCAACTATAATGTATGATTAGTTCTAAATACGTATGCTGCATAATTTTTCCATAGTTTAAGTTTTATTCTATTGTACCCTCTTTTAATTTCCCACTTATATATTTTATGTACACAATCATATTCAGGTATCACTAATTATTAGTAAGTGATGTGAATATATTCTTCATATTTAAGATAGTAGGGTACAGTATAACAATTTCATTTACTCGTACATATTGACATAGTTCATAACGTGACAACAACAACATAATGTGACCTCTTTCAGGTTGTCTACACTAATGTAGTTTATATATATATATATATTTTCTTATATTTTCAGCAAGCTTTTGGATTCTGACATGAGTCCACTTGGATTTGATGCAACGCAGATGTACAAATTCATCAGTGTTCGATTTACCAACACTTCAGGCTCAGTTCAAGAACAAACTTTGTCTTGGCTTCAGGTAATTGTTTTTAGTTATGAATGCAGTAAACCCTCCTAAAATATGAGTGTTTAAGACATACCTAAATGTTAAGTAAAATGTACATGATACAAATATCTACACTTATGGGGAAACTCCCATTTTCTTCCAGTAAAATAAGTAAAGAATAGGTTAGGATACATTCATGGTACGCCCCATTTTGCTGATCTTCCTGGACTGTAATTATATCCCTAGAGGCTAGGTGACCCTGGTAAGTTTAGAGGTAAAACCTTTATTCACAGTTGAAGTTTTTGTAATTCATTTCTTCCATTTCATCAGCCTATTCATTTTTTCATCATTGAGTTCGTCCTCATTCAATTTCACTCAGTGGGAATCATTCAGGAACATTTCTTAAGGTCAAGGATTTCTTACAACTCCGGTGTCAGGAAGGCCAATATGGAACATGTCAGCATCAATAAACCCCCCAACATCTGCTTCAGAGTTCTCATGATCAGTTGCTGTTTTAGTAATACAGCACATTATGAAAGATGCTGACCCTCGATGGAGAACTTTTAGAAGGCTTGTGTACGAGGGTGGTGGTGGTGGTGTGATTTAGGGGTTATGACAGCGGTGGTGTTGGATGTGCTTGGCATTCCCTTTAAGGATATAACACAGAGCTGTATGGATTTATGTAAATGTTGCCTGTCGGCAGAAACTAACATACCTTGCAGTGGATAAACACTCTGGTAGACAGGTTTTTGGGGAGCCTCAAGAGTCCTTTGGGAAGATGAGCACCTATTCCCATCCTATACAGAAAACTCTGGATAGGCTAACAAAGTTGTGTCAGAAACATGAAGACCCCCTCCTAGATCTGTGCCTAATTGAGCAAAAGCATTTTCCAGTGACCTCTGGCAGAGCAAAAGCCAGATGCCCCAAAGGAACACCAAGAGCCCACCACTCTCATAGCCAAGCCAGCATCGGACACTGACTCCCCACAGGAAGAACAACTGGAAAGCACAAAAATAATTCATCTTTTTTAAAATATATCATCTTCCCTGTGACTGCAGGGATATCTTAAGCTGTAAGCTTCTTCCAGCTTATGTAAAGGTAAAGTCCATTCGGTTACCGAAAAGAATGAAGAAAGAATGAATGACTGTTATAATGATGTGCACAGTTGATTAAAAATAATGATGTACAAAGTTTATTAGATAACCTGTGAATTGAAAGAGGGGACAGTGTTCTAGAAAATGACACCAGATGGATGTTGTAATACATGTAAATAGTAGCTTTCTGAATTATACAAATACTGCTCCTAGTAGGTTAGCATTAACAGATCCATTGTATTGTATATCTTATAAACATAGAACATAATCATTATTATTATTATGAAAAGATAGTGGTTTCTGGAGTTATGATACTGTATCCAGACAGTGAGACATGTATCACCCATTAGAAAGAGAGAGTTTTATCAGTAGTCTATAAGTATGGTTTTGTACTACACCCTCCTTCATTTTAGCACTATTAGACAACACTCCTATAATAACCTACTTGGTTCTTGGATGCTTGCCTTGGATTTTTGTCAGAATCATGGAATCGAACATTATAATATTTATATGTTTCTATAGGTTTATATATTTTATTTATTTAAAAACTCTTGAAAACATTAACAATGGGTTATAAGGCAATCTTCAATGAGAGTTTCAGTATGGTATTGGCATTCTGTATTTTTTTAAGAGTTCTTGGCATTTTTGCATAGTCATATTGTTCTATGTACTGGTGAAGGCATTATATCTTTTTAGTTGCAAGTCTTAGGTTACTTGTGGTCACTCAGATATGGACAACTTCACCCTAATTGGATAATTTGTGCCTAGGATGATAGGATTCTGTGTGGTGACAACTGATGGGTCTTTTGATGGTGTTTGACTTTTTGAGGGTTTTCTTACTGTTTGGAAATTTACCATATGTCTGACCTACTATCACCAGAACATATTTTCATTATTCTTACTTTCTGAAGTTTAAAACTTATCGACACCTTACTGGACCGAGTACCTGCTGGGTACAGGAGGTTGTGCACAAGGTATCAACTGGGGGGAAAATCCTGCTTGGTATTGGACAGAGAATAAGCTGGGGAGAGCCAGTCGGCCGAGCGGACAGCACACTGGACTTGTGATCCTGTGGTCCTGGGTTGGATCCCAGGTGCTGGCGAGAAACAATGGGCAGAGTTTCTTTCATCCTGTTACCTAGCAGTAAAATAGGTACCTGGGTGTTAGTCAGCTGTCACGGGTTGCTTCCTGGGGGTGGAGGCCTGGTCGAGGACCGGGCCGCGGGGACACTAAAGCCCCGAAATCATCTCAAGATAACCTCAAGATAAGCCCTGGAGTTGACATTACACTGAACCTGGTATATTTCTGTTCTTTCTTTGTGTACTTATTCTTTACTCTATTACAACAGTTTGGTGAGTGGGCATATTAGAATAGTGTGACAGTATATAGTAGTGAGAGCCACATATGAGGACAAAAATAAATGAATTGTATTAACTCATGAGTATTTGCAAGTGTTCATTTGCAAATTATGCATTTTTAAATAATATTTACTCCTTTTTTCAGATTTTGACTTCTCTGAACATAGTAATTCCAATGAGTTTACTTCTAACAATATTTAGTGAAGGGGTATCATCACTTTGCAACCCGCCACTGTCTGCAAGGAAAACAAGCACTTCTAGTAGGCAAGATTCAGCTGTGTTGGGTAAGAAAACAGAAAAATACAGAAAACTGATAACCAAACATGAATGTTCCCATTTTGTTTACCTTTTGATATTTCTGGGAAACTTTCTCCTCTTCAGAGCCGGTGGTAGAGGATGATTCTCACAGTAGTTCGGCTCTCTCCGAGGACGACAGGCCACCCTCAGAGCACCCAGAAGACCACTATTCTGACCCAGAACTTAACCTCACATGTTTTGTTCTCATGCTGGATGTCTTGTTTAAACAAGTAGGCCATTACCTTGGTTTTGTTTAAAAAAAAAAAAGTCAAGAGCTGTTTTTCTATGGAAATTTTTCCCTGGGGACACAGGTTCAGTCCCATCGCTTGGCCTCTGTATTTTCTCATAGTACATTACTTTCTTGTTAGTTTATTGTGCTTCTTTTTGTAATGTTTAAATTGTAAATAAAATACCTCTCAGTTTGAAATATCGGAGAAAATAAATCTTTGATATTCAGATAATAATATGTTATTGGTAATATAAAATGACACACATTACCTCTACATATTATTGGTTTTATGTAATTTACATTGCTTGCCTTCATATTTTCCAATGAATCATGTATCAAATGTGTGTACTTTTATATAACTACAAATTATTACTATTAAGCTCAAAATGGCACCTAATCTGATTCTTTTTTTTTTTTTTTTAGGTAAAATACATTATTATTATTAATATTCCAGATTGTTGTTTATAATAATACATTTTTAGAAATGAAACATTATTTTTTAACCAGTAATCCTAATTATTTTGGTGGCTCCTTGTTCATCAAGGGAAGCCATTGCAAAAAAAAAAAAGGAAATGTTTTAGGAAATCTGGATTTGTAACATCTGGATCAGGGTCCAGAATGACAAGACTTGGATTTTGAAGGTTCCGTTGTCTAAACCTTTGTTACGTAATAATATTAAAACTTTTTTTTGTTGTGTTTATTTCTCTAATGAATTTCATCTGTATTCTGGGTAAAATCAATACAATACAGTATAGTGTTTATAAATGGCTCGATCAAATTCATTTAAATTTGAGCCGGATAATTTTTATCTTCCTTACCTACAAGAGCACACTTCTCTGGCATTTCTTGTTTTGGAAATGATGCAAGTATAAAACTGAACTTGGTAGCCAGCATTACTCTTAATCTGTGATTAGTTTTCTATGTAAATTTAGTATTTTTGTCTAGATTAAGATAGCTTTTCCTTCCACTTGGTTTAGCAAACTTGCTGACAGATGTTTTTTCTATGTGCAAATATCAAAAGGAATCGGCAAGAATATCCTAGAGCCGGCATAACACTTGCATAACATATTCCAGCTAGGAATAACACTGCACCAACACAGAGGGTAAAACCATATATGCAAACTGTTATGAACAATTTATTGTACAGATTATAAAAACCTGCTCAATTAGCAACATTTGGCAGTTAATTATTACGGGCTATTCATGCCCGTGCCACCTTTTGGGTGACTTAATCTTTATCAATCAGTTAGAGAAATTTGTTACTAAATGTTTGTTTTTTGAAGATCCCATTGTACAGTATTTGCTTGAGATTGCATATAAATTTTGTTTTGTTTATTGTCCAGATGGAAGTTCAAGAAGTTGAAAAGCACCAAGGTGTTGATGGTGAAGTAAGTGTACCAGTGATGGCACTCATCTGTGACATGCTGAGTGCACCTTGCTTGGCTCCACACAACTGTGATGGAGAACAAGAGTGTACCACATGTGAACTCACCACAGCATTTTTCCAGCTGGAAATGGATGTAGTAGCTTACCTGTGTCCACGAGTTGCCATTCAGAATAATAGAGTAAGTGTTGATTTACTTTGTAATTTGCATCTTAATACAGAAGTCGCAACTTTCTCCAACTCATTATGTTAGAGAAAAATAGGACTGAAATACTGAACAGTATATCACATAATTATAGGCCATACCCATCATCTTTAATACAAATTATTATTGGAAGCTATGAATGTAGTGTAATATGTAAAAAAACTCACTGATCAAGAAAATTTTTGTTATTGATATTATTGTCTTTACACTTGTGTGGCAATAATTGTATACTGTATATACAAATTTTTTATGACTGCATAACACATATTGTATATATACTTTTTTAAAGTACCGCATGAGATTTAAAAATCCCGTGGCTACACGGGGTTAACATCAGCGTCCTCAAGGCTCCAGTAAACAGACGCCATTTAAAAAAATAATCATGGGCACATTCTTGGTTGTAAGGGCCTCGGTACTGAATGAGCAACCAAGGCTTGCACAAGCAGCATGACCTAACAGTACTGTTGTTCAGCTTCTGACCACAACATCACTTAAAACCCCAAATATGTGCAATCACTCTGAATTATGCTAGAACAAACCGCTCAAGAGTGATATTTCTGATAGGCAGTGTATTTGCCTGTCATCCCAACAATTCACTTAAGAACCCACTCCCAAAGAAAATTATAATAACTTAATAGCATTACCAGCCAGTAAAAGATTTGCCCGAAACGCTATGCCCGAAACGCTATACGTACTAGTGGCTTTAGGTATTGTATGTACTACCTCTATCTTTAAATCAAACAGAATGTTTGTACTGTAACTCTGCAACTATGTATGTACTGTTCCTAAATAAATTATTATTATTATTTTTTATTATTATTATATTATTATTATTATTATTATTATTGTGGGATTCAACAACCTTCACTTGTTTGTCTGGTGTTCTACCTTTCACTAACTAGCTCTGTGGAGGCCAATAATGAGTATTTTTAACTGATTATATTAACACTTCTGTCTTTGTACAGAGGTTTCATTCTAAAGTGTTCGCTGCATAGTGTAGTTCCAGGTCGTTTTTCTGTCTCGGACTTTAGTTATCTGCTTGAGCCTTGTTCCATGGTCACCTACCCTGATACTTATTGCTGAGCTCTGAGGTGACTCGAACCCACGACCGGGACACTTCCATCTACCGACACTAACCACTGGACCACCTTGACTTATTAAAAGTTATACAATCGGATTTCTTCTGAAATCACAGGACGTCTGGAGGCCTCTTCTGAAGCCAGGGCAAGTTTTACATTTTGCTTGGTTGTTACACATAAAACTTGGACTGGTTTCAGTAGAGGTCTCCAGACTTCCTGTGATTTCAGTAGAAACCTGGTTGTGCGAATTTTGCCAAGTCAGGGTTGTCCAGTGGTTAGTATCGGTGGCTGGGAGTTTCCTGGTCACAAGTTCAAGTCACCTCAGAGCTCCGGTTGATTTTCTCCTTCAATTACAAAGCACAACAATGTTTTTGTCTATCATGCTGAAGCATTAAAAATAAATAAAATTCTTGTAACTTTTTAGAGCATAATATTTGTAATAGAAAACATTTAAAATTTAGTAAAAGTGCACTATGTATGCTTGATATGCATGGGTGATCATTTACAGAACTGTATATATTTGGAATTATTTTGCGTCTCAGGTAGCTGATATTATACCTCCTGAAATGGAATCATCACAAGTCAACAAAAGTCCTGAGTTATCAACTATAGATGCTCAAATTGGAAGCTCAACCCATTCCCCTAAACCTTGTCACCAATTGCCGACACCAAAAGACGGAGGACTGTTGTCAGCAATGGCAAACATGCCTCAGGTATGATTAAGGGTTGTGTTATGCATGCATCGCTCTATAGTGTTACAACTTCTCAGTCAAATGGTCATTCAAATTTCACTCGGTCAAATGAGGGCATTCATGGCTCTCTGTTGCAGGAGAATATATATATTCTTGGAGAATAGGAGATTTATGATCTCCTATCTCCTATAGGAAATTGGAGAATATATAGCAGAATTGTATATTCCATTGCAGCAAAACATTTCCAATACTGTACTGTAGTTCAGTGTGATTTTTTTTTGTTAAAGTTTAGAATATTTATTTGTGCACATTTTAATAACAAAATAGTGAAATAAATGTTTAATATTGAATAAAACTTGAATATATATTATGTTTATGTTTAGGCTATGTTATATTTATGCCAAGTTATGGCAGAAGTTGATTTCTGTACAAGTTGATATCGGCACAAGTTGATATCGGCACAAGGTGTATTATCTGTTCAAAATTTCAGATTGTCACAGCTACTGTGGAAACAGTTGGAGAATTAGATATTGCACCCAACATCCCTCAAGAACATGTGGTGAAAGCTGTAGCCCGGGCAGTTACGCTAACTGAGGAAGATGTTGGTATGGACTTCAGAGGAAGACTTTTGGGGTTTTATAATTGTATAGTTAGAATGTATACTTGAATTTAAACGAGATAAAATATCAATTACAAATGATGAACGGCACTTGTTCAGTAAGCTCTCTTGAGTTTTCTCACTTGGTTGCTGCCTAAGGTAAATGTCCCCTTGTGACTTGGACCAAAGTCATGAACATTATTTATACAATAGACATTATACAGAACAACATAAAAATAGTTGAATAGTGGGTAAAGTAAGTGTTTATTATATAAAGTCATTATAGTTATGCACAGCATTTTAGGCATTTGGGCATTTATTCAGGCAGATGGACAGTCTATGCAAAAGCACGTCAGGGATCTTTTCAAAGGATCCTGTAAGATCATTAAAGGTGCCATGGAGGCACTGGGGAAATGCTCACTCCTGCCCAGAATGTGCCAGAGGAACTCATAATACACTTTAAACCCTACCGAATCCTTACTTCAAGTGAATACCTTGTTTCGGCTAACTAGTTAGTTCTATTTTATGTTAATTGACTTTTTCATTCCATGAAATAAAATGGTGGCCTGCACAAATGGTAGCACTGACAAAGACTTGGAACCCAAATGTGCCAGACATTAATGCATGTCACCACTTGATACTGGTGAAGAATTACCATGATGAATCTTTTGGCAATCCGAGGAGCTAAGAAAGAATGGTTTCAGTTTTCCTATTTCTCAGAGAGGAAAAGAGTGAGTGGAAACCTGGGAAGAATGTAAGCACCATCCTTTATAGCATGGTATCATACCCTTGGCAGCAAAAGTTAGAGAAGCCTTGATGCCAAACAAATGCAGGAACTGGTACGAGTAGTATACACAGCTGAGTGAGCCAGTCTGTCGTTACTTGAGTGTCTGATTTACGATTTGAGGGTTATCAAGAAGACTTGTGAAGGCTTTTCAGTATGTATGACTTTGAGTCTTATGCATCTCATTTTAGCTGTGTAATCTCCAGTATTTCTTTGTACTTGTATGAACCTAGGGGCCTCGTAGCCTGGTGGATAGCGCGCAGGACTCGTAATTCTGTGGCGCGGGTTCGATTCCCGCACGAGGCAGAAACAAATGGGCAAAGTATCTTTCACCCTGAATGCCCCTGTTACCTAGCAGTAAATAGGTACCTGGGAGTTAGTCAGCTGTCACGGGCTGCTTCCTGGGGGTGGAGGCCTGGTCTAGGACCGGGCCGCGGGGACACTAAAAAAGCCCCGAAATCATCTCAAGATAGACCTCAAGATAACCTATGGTGCCTACATGAGGAAGCACTACAGCTCATCAGGCCTAACTGTAGGATTTACTTCTGCATATGGCTCTGAAATCTTACCTAAGTGTCAATCAAGTAAGGTAGCTCATAATGAGTTTTTTATTTTGTTTTGCTAAATTATCTTTAAACTAAATCACTGAATGACCTCTGATTCCAATGCTTAGTCTGTGGACATGAATTATTTTAATTCCATTTCCAATCTGTAAGCTAGAGTGCTTAATAGTTCCTGTTATATTTATATGACATTCTCCCTATTTTCCTCAAAATTATTTTGTTCTTTAATGTAAAATAATAAAAAATGATTATTATTTATTGTTTTCACAAATTTTGTTTAAATTATTAAGAAAAGATCTGTATAGTTCACAGACACTCGTTCAAAAGTCATGATCTGTGACAGTTATAAATGTGGTTATTTTGCAGCATATGCCACAGCCAATGTAGCTCTGCCTAGTGTGGTAGGGGAGGATGATGAGCCTATTGATACCACTCAACAAGGTGATGAAGATAAGGAGAGTTTCTGGCTTACTTCCCAGGGCAAGTTCAAGTTTAGAATTGAAGATCTTCCACCTCATTTGCAAGTGATTTACACCTTGTTAATTGTAAGTGCCTTTACATTATGTAATATTCCGTTTGTTTTACATTTTGTAATGTATCAGTTTCTTTACATTTAGTAATTTTCCTGTTTTTACAGTACCCCTCAATTCAACACACACACTGTACAGGACCATCTTCTATCTTGAGAGGTTACCTTGAGATGATTTCGGGGCTTTAGTGTCCCCGTGGCCCAGTCCTCGACCAGGCCTCCACCCCCACAGGAAGCAGCCCGTGAAAGCTGACTAACACCCAGGTACCTATTTTACTGCTAGGTAACGGGCATAGGGGGAAAGAAACGCTGCCCATTGTTTTTCGCCGGCGCCCGGGATCGAACCCTGGACCACAGGATCACAAGTCCAGCGTGCTGTCCACTCCGGCCGACCAAACCCTAACCACTGCAGTCTGCAGTGAGGGATCCGTTGGAACCAAAGATGCCTCCTGGGTGCATTTCCCCTCACCCTGTGGGCTAATGTCACTTAGAAAAATTTTCATTTCAACCTATGATATAATAGACAACTACCAAATGAACACGTCTACACAAAAATTTAACCACGTCTAGTTTATTTCTCACAGTCCCATTTTCAAAAGGTAGCAGGGCCATACCCGAGTGAACGAAAACTAGGCCAACTCAAAATGAAAACAAACCATAGAATGTGGTTTTAAATATTCTCAATAGTTTTCTCAAGGCTCCAACTATTTACTAAATTGTTAAGTCCAACTACAAAAATCATAAAAAACATGACTGGAGCCATATTAACCCCTGCACTGCACACCTGTTTTTGTCAAATACTTCATAGTGCAATTGTCAAGGACATATTTTTGTTGTTTTTATAAATATTCAGGTAAAGTTAATGTCAAAATGTTTCCAAACTCAACTATTTTCATTTCAAAACATAAAGAGTGAAAAAAATACATATTAAAAAACATTAAAATATAGCCTAATTAAAAAAAAATAGCACAACTCTCAGAACGACTTTTGTTGGCTGGCGCAGTTAAGGGGTTAAGAATTATCTTTCACACCCTAATATTTCCCATGCTCTGTGAGCTGATTTCATTGAGCGAGATTATAATTTCAACTGGTCATATGTAGGACAAGAACATGAGAGCCCCTCTGTAAAGAGATTTTGTCACATCTAGCAAATTTCCTATGCCCAAGCCTCAAAATCTCATTTCCAAATAAAAAAAAGCCAATATTTTACTAAACAAAATCCTTTAGAACAGGAAATAAAAAAAGAAGCAGAGATGCTTCTTGATGATGCTTTTTTCCCGCCATGACTGATAATGTTTACCCACTTATAATGCATTTCTTTTACATTGTGGCAGCGACTAGAAACATTTGAGGATGGTGACGTAGTGTACCACATCTGTGAGTGTTTGAAGTATCTTGTGCTGCATGGTGAGGCTATGGCTCATGCGGCGGTTGATCATCGTGGTTTTCTCATTTGGTGCCAAGAAAACAAAACTATTGTAATGTAAGTATAGTACATTTTACAGTAATTTATGACAGTATTTACAATTGGAGCTCTGCTCCAAAGGTTAGATTTGTTCTTTACCACATTTTATGCGAAAACACAACCGTGACACTTGTATTGAAAGCAAGATGCATTGGATGTCCAGTTTCTTTGTCTAACAAATTTTAAAATCCACCAAAAACAGGTAAAAAAATTGTGAAAATATACAAAAATTAAATAAATTCTGTAAGAGTTTGGTAATTTTAATACTGGTAGCCCAAATCTCCAAGTAATCCAAATAAATACACACAAATTTTGTTTAGCTTTTGAGTTTTTAACACGAATAGGAATTCAGGGTAAAAGATTATACTAAATGAGACACCTGAATAGATTCAAATTTGTTAATTTTTGGACATTCTTGGTAAAAAAAAGCCAGCTATCTCAAGTGGGTTTCGTCATGATCTGGATTACCAAACATAGACAGTACCATCAGTCATAATTAATATTTTCATATGCATATACAACTATTTTGAATTGGATATATATAAGTAATCATTAAAATAATGTGTAAGGAATGTGAATTGTAAGAGAAGTGGAGTGACTTCATTCTCAAAGACTTTCAGAATTTAATTCTATATCAAAAAATAGAGATAGAAATAAAGAGACAGAGAAAAAGATGTATATAGGGTCCTGTAATACAATGGCCAAGCTCTCGACACATAATTAGGGATCCCAGGTTTAATACCCAGGTGGGACAGAAATGGTTGAGCATGTTTTCTTTCACGTAATGTGTGTCTGTTTAGCTAGTTAAAGTTAAGCAACTGTTGTGCAGTTATATCCTGGGAATAGTTCATAGTTGGACCTCGGGAAGGATCTTGATACAAGTCTAAGATATATATATTTACAGACTTCATATTCCCAACAACAGGATATACTGCATACAGATAGAAATATGTACAGTAGTTAAATAGAGAGAGAGAGAGATAATTTAGATACTGTCTACACTCAGTAATCCGAAACATATGGGGCTCGTTGCAATGAGAGTTAGCCGAACATTCATGATTAGTTAACATATACAGCTACAGTCTATTCAGTTTTACAGGACTATCATAACCGTGATCCCGAGAGGCTCCAATTCATCAAGTGAGAGCCATCAAGTTAAGAAATTTATTTTAGTCCCTATTCCCATTTTGTGTGAGTGGTAGAAAGGTTTCAATGTCATATATATATTAGCTCCAAGAACTGGACCACAGCAATCTCTGAACTGAGCAATTTACATCTGTGGTTGATTATTCACATATTTTAATTTCATTTTCGTGCACCCTGCACCCATCCAGTGGGCGGTGGGGGAAGTTTACCCTTATGAACATGAAATACCCTACAGTAAGCAAACTTGGGATACTTGAGTAAGTTTTCATGTAGTACATTTTTAATTAAATGCTTATGGTATGCATTTCTTGGGAAATTGTTACAGAATTCTTTCTAAATTCTTGATTTTTTTCACATTCAGTTGTATAGTGATATAAGGTACTGTATGTGAATACAATACTGCTGACAGAGTTTATATTTGGTTAGATCTACTTCAGCAGGTGGTGCAAACTCCCAGCATGAGATAATTTATTTTTAGGCACTTGGAAAAAAATCCCAGCATTGGAAGGTCTTTGTTTCTTGGCATTATTTACACATCATATTGCTTATTTACATCAAATTTGGCTCTACAATTTCAAAAGCTGAATTATCTCATTAAAATGTGACACTAAGTATAATTACAGAAGATATATCTGCTGTAATTATTATATATTGCCTGTAATTGTGTGAAATATGTGTCATTATTGTTCTGTATACAAACTACTACCTTTACATAGAATGTGGTCTCTGATTGAGGCGGAGTGGTCACATGTTGCTGAGGTCTGCGTGTCCCTCTTACTTCACTTTGTTACTCTCCCATGTGGTGCCGATATATTTTGGAAGCTCTGTGAAAATCACTTTAATCATCAAGATTGGAAAGTTCGCTTTCAAGCAGGTGAGTTCAGTGTTATTCAGTGACGATTTTGCTACTTTAGAATTAAGGAAATTATTTTGAAATTGTGTGGAAATATTCCTCACTTTACAGTATACACCCAGTAGGTCATCAGATCAAATCATGCCTAAGATAGGGGTCATTTTGACCCAACTTAAAGACTGTTTTAGGAAAGGTGCTTGTAGCAATAATCATAAAAGGCATTGATATACATCTTAAAAAACAAAAATTAATAGAAGTTTCACAACATGGTTTCATAACATAGAATTTGCCATCTGCTTTTATAATAATTCAAAAATAAGTATGAATCCTATATAAGAAGTTATTTCATTATTTATGATTGCAGTGGAAAAGGTGGTAGTCATTGGTAGATTTCTGGGAATATCTGCTGTTCGCCAATGTCCAGGACTTCAGGCTGCTATTGCACATGCATTTTGCTTCCTGATCGCCTCACTAGATGACATAAATGTGGGAGTAGCTCAGCGGGCATCGCTCTACCTGACTACCTTACCTGATGCTGGGCTCAGGGCTCTCTGTTGGTGTCTGGAACAGCAGGTAATAGTCACCTACCATTGCACTTTAATTTGTATATACGTAGGGGAATATATGATAGTTTTAAATTAATTAGCATTATCCATATTCTAAATATTTAAGTCATTTAGCATATTGTTGGGAATAACTGCCTCCGGAAAAGTTTTTTACTATATTACCTTTCTGGGGGGCTTCTCTCGGTGGCTTCTTGGAGCTAGCCGCCTACTAGAAAGATGTGTTACATTGCATTCATCGGTGAATTTTTTCTCTAGGCTGGTGCTTTCTTCCCGAAATGAAAGTGGGAAAAAGGGTAATGATAATGTTTGAATGTATGTTTTTGTAGCTGGACACAAAATTTAGTCAGAGATGGAAGGAAGTTCTTGTTCCCTCTTTGGGTGGTAGGTAAGTTGAATGCACTGAAGGAATAGTTTGTTCCATCGAATTCCATTCACAACTTTAAAAAGAAATGTGATGCAAATGTTAATGTTGACAAGGGTAATTCATGAGTCTGATATAAACAGCTAGGAAGTAGGGCGTCAAGAGCTAGATCTCACTCTCCATAGTCACTGATACGTAAGCACTAGGCTTTAAATTTTTGTTCTTCCACTTATATCTTTAAAGTTGTCAGCTGGACAATCTTAAAAATTAATACAAACATCAAAATAGCAGTTGTTTTGTGATGACTACTTATTTCTGCATAAAATTCCTAACACTGCAGGAATGAACGGCAGTTCAGTATTATATTCTTTGACGTGCTTGTACATCATATGGTCATTTACATTAAGGCTACAGTACAGTATAATACAGTATATAGTAAAGATAAATATTCAAGAATGTGTGTTCATTATTTATTATGACATAATTAACAAGTGAAAAGATCTGTGAGAACTTCTATTTTACTCACATTTGGGGGTATGTGCATTTATTAATAATAATTCTTATTTCAGTTTGATAGTGTAATTATGGATAGACCCATGATTATTCAAGCCCTGCATCAGCTGAGCTCACGACTGCCCGATCGTCGCATACTGACTTGGGAGTTCTTCTTCAACCGCTTCGATGCTCTTTACCTTGAGGCCCAGATTGCTCTTGAGAAGTATGGGGACATAGCTTTCCCAAGAGGTATGTATCTCTGTCTTATCCCTAAATATTCTTCTAAAAAATATGCTGATTGCTTGTTATTTCTATACAGTTATTTAATAATAAATGCTATTACTGTAAATGGGGACATGTTATATTATCTAATCCTGTACAGTGCTTTACGAGTCCTGTGACACAGTAGTATATGTCCTCGACTCACGATTAAGGGATCCGTTTCCTTTCATCTGATGCAGCTGTTCATCTAAGAGTATACTGTATAGGTATCTGGGAGTAAGGCAGTTGTTGTGGGTTGCATCTTGGGGAAGATCAGTAGTTGGCCTAGAGGGGGATCTCAATTAAATAATAATTAATTCATTAAATAATAATTAAATATTTTATTTGCATAAGATGATACATGAAAAGTGGAGGATTCCTAGGCAAGATAAGTGCAATGCATAAAGCCACTAATATGCAAAGCATTTCGGGCATAATGTAAAATGCCTATGCAGTACCGTGGCACCTCGATTAACGAGTTTAATCTGTTCCGGCACCGAGCTCGTCGTGTGGGAAAGCTCGTCTTGCGAAACAACAAAAAAAACTGTCATAAAAGGTGTCCGAGAACCAGCGGAAATGCTCGTTAATCAAGGAAAAGCTTGTTAGTAGAGACAAATGTTCTGCGAGTGGCTTGTTCGTTACTCGAAATGCTCATAGATAGAGCCGCTCGTTAATCGAGGTGCCACTGTATATTGGAAAGGTATAAACAAACACTGATTCAATATTAATTCACTTTTCAGATTTAAAGAATTCCGACATGACAAGTGATGTGTTTGAGAGGAAGCTAAGTCGTGCAAAAGATGCCTTGACTCTTGTACAGAGTGCTAGTGTGCGGACTCTCTCCGGATCTCTTGGTACGAAGTGGCCGTACAAACGTACCATGTCAGCTCCTGCCAACATGTTTAACCGTACTGTTGAGAAGCAAGGTAATATTGTTTGTCTTTAAGTTTTCTGGGAATTTCATCTGTATTTGTTTCATGTTAGGAGGATATAGAATTGAATAGCCCTAGATAAATGTTTTTACTAATAGAACAAAATATTTGTGTGGCTAAGCATTCTTTAAGACTTCAGACTATTACAGTTTTTGTTCTAAATTGGTTATATGTTGCACTGAAGTTATTATTGGAATTACACTATTAAAAAGGAATAAAGAAATTTGGTTTTTAATTTTTTTTTATTAAAGTTGATAGCAGTAATGGATACTCAGAGTTTTGTCCACTATGTCACTCCCTTGGAAAAGTGTTCAGTTCCTCTCGGGACATACTGTAGCTACATTCTAGCCTGATAAGCGTAACCTTCACATTTTCGACACATTAGAGGGGTTCTTTACAAGCTGCTTTTGCCAGGTCTTTTATAGAGAGAGAGGCAGGCACTGAAGAATTCTCAGTTCACTCCAGAATGAAAATGAGATGGTTCATTCAACTTAACTAAAAGTACCTCCTCCAAGCAATACTTGGCTTCAAAGGTAGTTTGCCAAGCAACAGCCAGGGTTGTGTTGTTAACTTGTGCCTATGATAAGCATTGGGATATATGAACAAACATTTGATTGTCTACTTTTTGGGCTGGAAAGAATATTCTTCAGTATTCTAGTACCAATGTGAACTGGTGGGGATGGTTTGAAAAGGTTCTCATGGGGTCAGTGTAGTATGTCAACTTGCTGTGACAGTGGCAAATATCAATTACGGGCTCACCATAGCCCGTGCTACTTGGGACATTTTGTTCCAAGTAGTGAATCTTTAACAACAACAACAACAACAACAGTGGCAGATCCTTCCTGAGGGTGAGGAAGATCTTGTCCTCGGGAGCATCTAAGTGGCATATGTCAGAAATATATTTTTGTGCATGTATATAAATTTTTGTTTCCAATAAAAAAAATATGGTATTTGTGTTCATTTATGCACAAATATATTCAATATTTTCCAATTAAAAATAACAAAATCTCCATTAACATTGAAAAAGGGCAGTACTGTAATTAGTAACCTTTCGGATGTACATAGCGGGACTGTGATTATTATGGAAATGGTCCATTTTAAATCTTTTCATTACATAGTGTACTACTCCTCATATTATACATGTACAGTATGACTAAAATGTGCATTAAAAGCCATCAAAAGCATTAATTTAAAAAGTCTGTCAAATATATAGTCTGTACTGCACTGTATTGTCTTATCTGATACCACACAAACGTCTTCAGTAGGCCTATATATGCCAGGCCAAATGTGGCAAAAGTAAGTTTTCCATGCTTTTGCTATGCCTTCAAAGTATTGACAAATTTATTTTGTTTATCTGCTGTGGGTTTTCTACCTTACATCGTTACTTAGTAAGAGCCATACGGAACAGATTTTGAATGATTATACTGTCATACCATATTAAATATTCAAGGGATATAGGTGCATGTTATGCTAGGTTCAAAAAGCCATTTTAGATTTTTACATCTTGGCACTACTCTACGGTCATAACTAAGTAGTGATTATTAATTTTGAGAACAAGAAATACTGTAATATAATTTAAATTTGGCTATATTGCAAATTGATATAAACTTACAGGGTGCATAGCCTAGAAGTATTTTGCAAGATGTGTGTATGGAATCTTATCATAAAATGTGGGGTATCTCGTCAACAGATCAAATATACTCCAAATACACGTATGCAATAATTTGTGTGTAGTTGTTATAAGCTTGTGTGTATTTGTTAGTTATAATTAATGGTAACTTGATGTAGAAGTCTAGAGTGTATAGTGTGTGTGAAGTTATTTTGCAGTTGTGCTTACGGTAAATGTGTAGGTGTCACAAGTATGATAACATGTGGATTCACTTTCGTTCCATCACCTTGCATTCGAAACCTATTATTATGAACAGTGCCCCGACTCACCTTATCACTTGCAATATTGTGAGAAATGCAGAGGATCCCAGATTCACTTTGTGTGCATGCGTACATGTGTGTGTAGTTACCGGATGAGAGCTATGCTTGTGGTGTTCCATCTTCCCAGTACTCCTTGTCATATGGTGCTTTGAAACTACTGATGGTTTGTATGTGGTTTGTGTGTGTGTGTTTGTGTGTGTATATATATGTACTTAGCTACATATACTCAACTAGATGTGCTTGTAGGGTTGGGTGTCGTCTCCCTAGCCCTGCCTTTTGAACACCTTGTCAAGAAATACAAATGATTTTTACTGAGCTGACCTTGATAATTTCAATTTGTGACTGTTCCACTTTCCCATAACTCTTACACAGTGAAGCTTTTCCTTGTGCAGCACTCCAGCTCATCTACATTTCTAGCTCACACCCAAGTCTCCTGGTCCTACTGTTTCTCATTTTGAACATTGCTTCTCTGGCCACTGTCTGTTCCGCTTAATATCTTATACATTATCATATCACCTGTTTTTTTCTTTTCTCCAATGTTGAGAGATTGAGTTCTCTCAGCCTCTCAGAGATTTATTCACATTGAATTCTTTTTGCCAAGTGATGCTCCATACACTTATTTTGTCCAGGGCATCTTGAAGGATATGACAATTGTCTCAAGTTTCTTACCTTTCTCTAGTAGCTTAGCATTATCATTAAACATGTAGTGCTGTACTTCTTTTGGTAGATCGTTTGTATAGATGATGAACATTCCGGCGTAAGAACTGAACCCTGTGGTACTCCATTAGTAACACTTTTCCAATCTGTTACATTGCCTTTGATTTCTTCCTTTTATTTAGAAAAAAAGGAAGAAAATCTTGCTTTCATTTAGAAAATTTTTCATCCATGTCAGCAGTCTGTCTGTCACCTCTCCAACATGTTCTAGTTTCCAGAACAACCTCTTGTGCTGGACTCTGTCAAAAGCCTTTCTTATGTCCAGATAAACACAGTCAATTGAATCTCTCTTTCCTGTAAAATCGAGGGGGGGGGAGGGTTTATGCATGCGAGAGGGGAGTGTATGTGTCTGAGGAGTGAGTTATAAAACGAACTGATATCTATAACAGGAGACTTTATTGTTTATACCAGATGCCTATGAACAGGAACTGCTTTTCCTGTTGCTGCTACAGATCCTATCTTCCCACAATCGTCATCTCCCCTAGATCAACAACAACAGATCCTATCTGGACGGATAAAATTTAGGATTGAAAAACAGAAGGCTGAAAGAAATATGAACAGAGAATGAGTAAATGTGTATGTGTTTTGAAGAGTTGGTGCATGATAAAGTGAAAGTGAAAACAGGCTGGAGGATAAAGGAAGGGGTGGAGGGATGAGTGAGTAATAGGGAGGTAGAAATAAAGATAGGTGAAGAGGGAGAAAGATGGAAAGACAAGAGGCAGACAAGATGAGGGAGTGGGAGAGAGTGAGTGAGCTAGTCAATCTAATGTGTGCCGAAATAACAAGTGTCATAAATAGCTTTAGGTAAGTGTGCTACATGCTGCAGTGTAAGTGCAAATAATGAACTCTTATGTATGCTGTAATATTGTAGAAATCCATATGAAACATTGCTTAGTATCTCTGCTTGTCAGCCTTGCTCATTTCTCACTGGGTGAAGCAGCAGTTCTATAGAGCCCCTCATCATAACAGTAATTGTGTGTATACTGTGTGCTCTTAGCTAATAAATGTTCTTGTTCCCGGCACACTGAACACCAAGAGAGGTAGACACCAATACTCTACACGGGTACAGTGCACTCTGTTATTTGCTACTAATCTCCTTTTGATTATTCATATGTTGTGCACTTTTGTTAAAAAAAACTTAGAGTTTTTATAGATTTCTATAGTTTAGGTAGCTGTTAGCAAAAACTGTTGCTGAATACAGAAATATACAGTAGAGTAGTTAAAGTGTAAATAACATTGAATTATTTTAATGATTTAGAGCAAGGAATTTGTATAATTTTGGAGTTAATAAGTTTTGACATTTTCTATACGGTCAAACCACTTGTATACAGAGTGCAGGTACAGTATTGCCAAAACTTAAACCCTTCCTATAGATTTGTAGAATACTTAATTCAACTATTCAGTTTTTCTTTGTGTGTATTTCTAAGTGGCAATTATTTGAACGAGTGGAAATATGTTGTTAATAAATGTTCCAATAATTATTATTCCCTATTCAGTTGGTCTTGTACAGACGTTACTTGTGTTGACGCTTACCTTTTATTTCAGTGTTTGCAGTTGCATGATGTGGTTCCAAAACATAATATTTCATGTTATATATTCTCATAAATTACACGAATAACAGTGCAAAATGCTTAATATTTAATTCACGACTGTATGGTTTGTTGTATACAGTTATACCATGAGAAGGGAGTTTCAAGAACAATTTCATTTGCATGGAATATATATATATACTGTATAAGATAATTTTTTTTTTAATGCTGTCTCCTCATATTTAATCTCATTGTTTAATGAGACTACTGACTTTCTTCTCCACCACAGGATATATACTCGTAGTCATTTTAGTTATTTATAGAAGTCGTCAGTGGAGTATGGGTTAAGGTAATGTAGATTTAATATAGCACTTTTCTATACTGTATTAATGTAATATTTTCCACATTCTTTTTACGTATATTTAAGGAAAACTCAAAGAATCTGATACCACCACGCGCTAAAAGCTAAACCCTTGCACAGGTTAGGATAAATTAAGAATGATTCAATCAGCCAAAACGTGGTACCGGATTCTTGGATGCTTTGTATATTAATTCTGCCTGCACCATTCCAGTGGATAAAGAAAAGGAAAAAACATATCTCCGGCAAGCCTCCGCACCGTTGCTTAAACGCAAGACCTCGAAATTTGGGCTTGGTCAGTTCATAGGCACAAACCAGTCCAATCATTTAGCCTCAGGTATATCTGCTCTTCCCCTGGCTTGAATCCCAAAATTTCTGGGCCACAGATACATAGTTACTGAGGACACATTTCTGGGACTACAACCTTCACTGAATAAAACATTCTAGTGCATAATTTAAAATAAAATTTTAATATAGAATGAAAATTCCGTAATTAATTAGAATGGTCTAGAGGAGTAGAATATTACACTTGCTTATTTCAGATTTTACATGCTAAATTGAAAGTGAATTTCACATGGTCGACAATGAGCTTTGAAGGTCATATATATATATTATGTGGCCTCAAGTACCTATGAAATTAATTCCATGGAAGAAATGTTGTTTTTCTCTTGTCGTTGATTGTATCCTCTGGCCGTGTTGACTCTGTAGATCCCCCCCCCCCCCCTAGTAGTCTGACATTCTCAGACTTTACATATTTTAGTGCAATTTCTATTACCTTTTTCAGTTGTTGTCTTTCCCTTTGCTTCTGCCTTCCTTCCTTCCCCACATATTCAGTACAGTACTTGCAAAATTGACTTCTTTCTTTTTTTTTCTTCTCTGCATTTCCTGTTTCTGAGTGTTAAAAATCAATATGATATAGATAATATTTAGCAAAGATGTTGAGTTGGGGTGAAATCTAACTGGCACGTTTTGAGTAATAAATGTCGTCATGGTACAATTCATATGTGATGTATGATCAACTTGGTACTAGGCTTAGTTTAATGATGTGATATAGTGTAATAATGTATAGAAATTTATTACATTAAACTATGCAGTGCTTTAACGAGAAGATTTGTTTAAAGAGCGAACAACCTAAAGAGTTTGAAATCTTTGAATAACTCGGCCAAATAAAATTAAAAGTCACAAGTTCTGCCACCTGTGGCTGAATTACATGTTGACTAATTTCATTCCAACTTCACGTGCTTAGTGGTGTCAGGTATGCATTCTCCAAGATGTAGAAACTACAACAAAATCAGATTATAAACAAAGGAGAACAAAAATATTTGCCTCCCCCAAAAAATTGTTGGACATTGGTGGAACTAACAGATATTGGCAATGGGCAATGTATTTATACATGCCACCTCCAGGTGGCAATTATCAATCCTAGAAGGCACCAGCTGCATATCCATTTTGTGGACCCTCCTTACTACTACTACTACTATTATTACTACTATTCTTTGTGTATCAGACAAGTGCTTGCATCTCTTATGCACTGCACATGTGCAGAACTAGCCACTGAATTTACAGGAGTTTCGAATGATTTTCCCTTCAAACCAACAGTTTCATCTGATCACTACTAGGTACCAACACTGTTTTACATATGCCTTACAAAAAGGACCTCTTCCTTACCGAAAGATACTTAATACACCACCTGGTACTGGGGGTGGGGCCACAAATCACTTTCTCAGAAGCCTAATTAACATGGTATTCCATATTGTACCAGCATCACTCTCAAGTACTATAGGATATGATGAGCCCTGCTCATCAACAACAATGTGCTCTGTTTCTTATATTGCACAAAACATAATCCTGTTGAGAAGCATGTAGTGGTAAGGATAGCTGTTAAATGTGCATACAGTAATAACTGAACAATTGCTTAAATGTAGGTCAGGTAGGCAGCATCTCTATAGGGTGGAAGAGGACTTGTAACCATAAATAAATGGCACTGGTGCTCAACACATTCACAGATCAGTTCTTTCTGTCATTTCATGCACTGAAGAATGTCGCACTTTACAGTTATGCAGAATCAGTATGTACTTTGAGCCAGCTTGCTGTATTTTGAGTTGAATCCATTTTGATTTCCCATTGTTGTAGATATTAATCCTTTTAGGCTTATTGAGGTCCCCCTAGAACAACAACTGATCTCACTCAGAATATTACCCTTAAGTCTCCTAACTCCCAGGTACTGGTTTACTGCTAGGTAAACAGACCATCAAGTTTTAGGAAATGTTCTCAAACATCTTATCTGCCCTGGAAATTGTTCTTGGGTCCAATTAGTTTTGAGCCAGTTGCACTAACCACTATGTTACAAGGGTACATACACAAGACTATACTGTACAGGTGTAGGCTTATCTCCATTGGCTTGGAAAATTCATTTCCTTACATCACGGAACACCATTTTCATGGTACAGTACTTTTTCTTTCTTCTCTTTATATTATATTCCTGTCAAGCTGCAGTCACTTGGGACATACATCTATAGGTTTTCTGAGTAAATGCCCTTAGGATGTTCTCTGAGCCAGTCTTTATGATCCACCCAGGTTTCTTTTATCACTCACCAGGCTCCCATGACTCTTGCTGCCATCATGACAGGTGTCTTTCCATGTGGTCTTGTCACATATTTAGGCAAGGAACATTGTAACAAGTTAATTTTGAGTTTCAATGAATGGCCAAGTTGCTTTGATACAAAAGAAGAAGTCCTAAAGCTAAAATACCTCATACAAGGAATAATTTGCCAATACAAAGAACACCCTTTATATCTCTGCAAACTCTATTAGTAAAACAGCTATACTGACCACCACCAGGATTCATCACTATCACCACAATACGGTTCAGAAAGCTAACAAGTCTCCCTTTTAGTACAGGCATCCACCTAACATCTCCCTTGCTCTGTGGTGGCTGATTAAGTTCAGTATTCTTGTCTTGGTATTTCTTATGACTGCTGTCTTGGCATAGAGATTGTCCCATGATTTTAGTGTGTTTCATAGCATAGTGTTCCAGTTTTCTGGTACCACTGATTGGAGGGCATTGCTATCTGCTGCACCTAAGTTATAAGGTTTATTTTCTGACTCTGTTTTGCATTGCCTTCAGTTTGGTTTGACTACTCTCGAGTTGTACTCTTACCTTGGTGGTGTTTTGGGACTTTTCCTTAGGTTAGACCATAGTTCTGGTCTTTCCTTCCATTAAGAGTTACGCTGTCTCTTGGGGGACAATTGTAAGTTGTTCTTTGTGTGATAACTCTGTTCTAGATTTTTCTTGAGGGTGTGGTGTGACTTCCTTTTGTTTATTTCTGTTTAGCCCTATCCTTGTTCCTATTGCACGTTGGTTAACGTACGGCGAGTGCATGTCTTTTATGACTATATTCCAAATTTAGGGTTCATCTTGGGGTTGAGTACCTAGCTCCTATGGTTGTCATCATGTTTGCTCAGTGTTAGACAGTTGTGGTAGTGGTTCCCTGCCATGACACTGTCCATGGAGGGTATTATGCCCATTCTTCCTATGGAGTTCTTATGTGTGCTGTCCTGAGTGTTTTTTCTTTCAACATTATGTGCCTGTATTTCTCTCCATTGATACTGTACTTGCTTAGCTGGTACTTTTCCTGTTCTTGAAAAGTAAAGATATTGTGCATGCCCCTGCCCATGATGTCAATTGCAACATCATGTTGTGTTCACATTTGGATATGTCTTATGCTTGGTTCTCGTGCTTTTGGTGTATGGTATTTACCATAGACCTCTGTGATCAACCCGACCAAAGCTAATTCCAGTTTGTTAACCTTAATGTGGAGCTGTCATGCACAAACCTCTCAAGACAAGGCTGCAAACAGTACACTGTTAGTATCATGAAAAAGAGTGCCCTTCACGGAAAATGTTAAAAGGAAAACTATTCACTCCAACATGGGCAATTGGCAAAAAGATGCTATTTTCCAAAGAAACCAATGGATTGTCTGCTAACCAACAAAGGATTGTTTGCACTTTGTACCATGACAAGAAGTGGCAGAGGGCCTCAACTAAAGGGAATTGGGTTCATTTCTGATGTGTGGGTTCACATCAGGACTAACAACAAAAACCTGCTCAAAAAGGATAAATCCTAAGTAAACATACCCATTCAGAAATCCACTTGAAGAGGTGCTGCAGAGGTGCTAAGTTCAAAATTGGTGAGTGGATTCAAAATACCAAAGCTAAAAGGATAAAATCTTTCCCCTTAACAACTAGATCTCAATATGTCAACCATAACTCCTCCTCAGAAAGTCAACCATAACTCCTCTTCAGAAATTCGTGAAAATTAGGAATAGCTATAAAGGTGCCAGGGTTGAAGCCCATCTCCAACCCTTAACCTAGAGTGGGGGGCCAAGGAACAATGAGAAAAAAAGATGAGGAAAGAGTGTTTTCATGATCTAAAGGTATCTCCTCCATTGGAACAGCCTGCAAGACTGATATTTCTAGTACATCCCAGCTGTTGCATGTTGGGCATTGTGCTTAGGTTGTTTTGGTGCCATGACCAGCAGTGAGTGCCTGGAGACAAAACGAGAACTGGACTTACTCTATGAGTCCACCGGCCAAACCTGGAATAACTGTGTAGATGGTGTAACCATGGCACATGTGGCCAGCTTCAATCTCCTCATAAAACAAAGAACAACTGACTGGCCTCAAACCAGCTACGGCCTAGGGCTGCAAAAGCCTGGAACACAACGTGCAAGCTCTCAAGTAAATCTCCACCTGACAGATTAGTGCTCGGTCATAATAGAGGTCCAGTGACACCACATTACACACCTGAGGGTAAAACTATCCACGAACCCAGCAAGTGGAGTAGAAGAGACAACAGGGCTAGCCATCGTTGTCCTAAGACATACCCCATGCTTTAAAAACAACAACAACAAGAACTAGAAGTTATGGATATAAAATTATGGAAATGAAGTTTGCTGAAAAAACTTGAGGTAATTCTGTTTTACAAATACTGTAGTTGTATAGTACTGTATTTGAATGGAGTAAATTTAATGAGTGGGTAGTACAGTAATTTATATGGCAAAATCATCAGAAGCATCAAAACATCATGGGACAGAGATTATTTGGAAGATGGACACCACCAGCATATCGCATCTCTAATCCTGTTATATAACTACATTCGGGTAATCTCTCTTTCTCTCAGGCATACACCCACACATGCACACGCACGCACAGATATGATCACTATGTATAAGATAGTGACAGGAATCGACAAAATTGGTAAAGAAGAAATCTTGAGACCTGGCTCTTCGAGAACAAGAGGTCATAGATTGAAGCTAATTAAACAAAGCTGCCAGGAAAAAAAATATTAAATTCACTGTTACAAACAGTATGGTAGACGGTTGGAACAAGTAAGAAGGTGGTGGAGGCTAAAACTGTTAGTAGTTTCAAAAGAGTTACAGTATATAACAAAGAGTGCTGGGAAGACGGGACACCACGAGCGTAGCTTTCAACCTGTAACTATACTTAGGTGATTACATGCGTGTGCACTGAAATTGGAAATTAAATGTGAAATTAAAATCCTATTAGGCTCCCATCATAACTGATCATTCCTCTAAATGGAGAATAAGATTACTGCTATGATTAGATAATTTGTTTATTATTCAACTGTATCACATTTTGCATGGATTGTAAAATTATATTTGTCTAAATCTTCTTGACTGTCTTAAAATATCAGAAGTTTAATTCCTTCATGTTGAACACATATACAGTACAACAATACAGAAAAGTATTTAGTGATAATAAATGAATGAATCTGGGCTGTTATGGCTTCTTTTAGGAACAGTGGCCATGTTACCAAGATCATTGCTTACAATTAATTTTCTTTTATATTAGACATCATCTTGGAGAAAATTGTCATTCCATTTCTTTGTATACATGATATGTTGAAAAATCTAAGTAAGAGTTTGTAATATTTGTTGATACAGTATTCAAGTTAAGATTAATAATTATAGGCAGCTATCTTGGTGATATGTTTTTTCTTTTTTGGCTGCCATACATAGAAAGCAGAGCATTGGTATTGGACAAAAATTACATTCTGCTCTCTAACATAAAGAAGACGATTCATTCATATAATCTCACAAAATACTTACGGCATTTGGTTTAAGGTGTTCCTCAGATATTGTTCTGTGGGCCAACAAATTGTAGGCTCCTAACCAATGTAGATTTCCCCGGCCAGGTATCATGTAGTCCTTCCATAGACTGGCCTACTAATATGACAGGTCATGTAGCAGCCTGCTCCTCTTAATCTGGTGGTTCTATAAATCTTGTTTGTTCGCTTTCTCACTACATGGCCCGTGTAGCACCCTCCGTGGTCTGGGCAGATGTTTTGCAGGGTCTTATGGTCCAACATACAGGACGTGTGCATGGTTTAACACGTGTGGATAACACTCGACACAGGATCAGTGGCGTCTCCAAATCAATTTTCTTGTATTTATATTTAGATGATGACTTTTCATTGTAGGGCTGGATAACCTTCCCAGTCAATGCTTTTGTGATGTGAATAAACAATATTGTTGTCCCTTTTTGCTTGCAGACTTTACTATAAAGGGGCTTTGCACAATGCCCTGTAAACTGTTTGAGGCTTACTTCATTGACGTAATGCAGGGTATCTATTGTAGTCCTTTCTTTATGAAAGTCTTTTTGTATATGTATGTGTAGACTTGTGTATATTTATGTATGTGCTAGTTACAGCTGCATTGAAAGAGTTCTTAGTGGTCTTGATCATTGACATTTACTAAAAAGTGATGGAACTTGCTGAATTTTAGCTAAACAAAAATTGATGTGGCTAACCATTTTACAGTAACTGAAACTTTATTAGAAATATTAGAATTACTATCTGATTAGGAGAAAATATTGAATCCATGTTATGGGATCGCATCCACATTCCTGAAGTCCCAAGGCACACGCACTTCGGACTCATAGTTGGTAGTGCGAATGCCTGGGAGATCTACGGATGCAGGTCTGATCAAATTGTATAGCCTCATTATTTTCTCATTGTACATCATGTTCTTGTGATTTCATTGGGCTATTTAATTATGTAGTTAGCAAAGATAATTTGCTTCAAGGAACAAACTTGGCTGTCGTCCAAGAAAGTCAGTGGTCGAGATTAATTTTGACTTTTTAAATGCAATGTGTCCACTGTCTGTGGTTTTCATGTTCCATTGCCTGGTTAATCTAGTTCTTTGTAGTATAGAATTTGGTCTCAAGATATCCTTCTGATTTACTTAATCCTTATTTTTATGGCTTCTCTCTTTTGGATACTACAGCTTTTAAAAAAAAAAAAAACATGCTTCATAATAACCCAACTCTTAACATATACATTTGTTTCTGTTGAATTATAATTATAGGAAAGGTAAATTACTCTGCATAATTTTTTATGTATCTCCAGCCTTACCAGTCATGGAAACGAGTATTTTTAACATGGCATTTGATAATCATTTAACGACGTATACAATATAGGGTAATATGTTATACAGTACTGTATATAAATTTATATACAGTATATTTTTTGGTTCATTTTATAATTGAGTGTATTTGGGTTACGGTAGTTCAATGTTAGAGATTTATAAATAATAATAATTATATATATTATGTATACAAACTGGATCATATTAGTTCTGTAGGACATCATGATGAACCTCATTGAAAGGGAATATTATATGTTGCTCTATTTTGACTATATTTTCAGTTAGTGGGGGTTTTAAAGGTTTTGGGTATATATACAATAGTATTGTATTTTGTTTAGTATTTTGCTTTTGTTTATATTTGAGAATAGAGTAGTGTTTTTTTTTTTTTTTTTTTTTTTTGGTTCTTAAGTTATTCATAATAAAGTTTTCTTCCTTTAGTGAAGAAATTATTTTTGTTCTTTTTGTGTTGATTGAAACAAACAAATAAGTTGAGCTGCGTCATGTCAGTTATTTTCTTTTCACTAATACTTGTATTTTTGTCAGAAGTTACGGACTGACGGTAGCTTGGGAGGTCTCATTCCGGGCCTCTTGAACAGTTTGTTCAATTAAATTTTATAATTAATACAATTCCCAAATTCACACGTTTATTGTATCATAAGTTTTAAATTTTAGACTAAAAATGTAACAAATAAATGGGAAATTTCTTTTCCATTCTTTAATGATAATGTACGCATTGTAATTATTAACTAAATTTGACCTAAAGTGAAGTTTGTATTTAAACAAACTCTCTCCCTTCTTTTACTTAATAAAATATAGCACTTTAATTAAGGTGATAAGAATATGGAAATAATATGTTGCTTAAAATGATAATTCTTAATCTTACTGTTAAGATATAACTTTTTATTTCTCTCTGGGAAGTTGGATAAGAATTTGTCACTCATAGTAGTATAAAAGATGAAGTATGTGGGAAATTAGCTATGTTAAGCATGTCGAAGAGTAGTAGTTTAGCGTGGTTGGAAAATCCTGATATTGAAATGATCTCTAGATAATATAGCATGTGGTCAATTAGTGACCTATAGTATCAATATGCATGGTTTCATTTTTGACATGGGTCTATATGCTAGTGATCAAAATAGTTTACAGATATTTAATAGACCTTTACTTGTCTAATTTTTGCATGATTGCAGTAAAGTATTATGACTAAAAAAAATTGAACTGATTAAAAACAATTACTTATAGACCATATTTATAGTCATTTTGATATATATATAGATAAGGTTTTTATGGTATAGTATACATATTTATATCAGGTTTTTATTTTAACATTTTGTTAGAGTAACAAATTATAACAAATTTCAAATTATTCTTTTGAGTATACTGGATTATTTTATAGTTATCATTTGTATTTTGTAGTACAGTATACTGTAGATTGTTAACTTACAAGACTTATAAAAGGTTATGCTGATATGCTAATTTTTCCTGCTTCCCTTCTTTATGCAACTATTGAGACTTAAGAGTAGCAAATTCTTCTATACACAGTAAGCAGTATGACAAAATATGAAAAATATTTGAGCCTCTCAGGACTTGTAGAAAATATCCTCTTGTTTCATAAGAAAATTTGAAAGGCCTATAATAATTCAAAAGTCCATTTTATGTTGGATGCATAATATATAATACAGTACTTCTTTAGAAACATCCACTGCTAATAATTTATTGTTTCTGAAATGTATATCAAAATTTGTATCAGCTTATAAAGTGGGTGCTGCTAAATGCAATCCTTGCCATTTGAAATATAAAAATTGCAATATATTTTAGCCAAATCATACCCTGAGCAATGTACCCTCACCCTTCAGCAGACGGAGGCATGCGGTGTGGTGACGACGGGTCTATTGTTCACCAGCTGCAGCGTGCCATGGACCTTGAGGAAACTGATAAAGATACCCTGCATCTTCTTGTGTTCCTCTTCATGCAGTTCCTCTCTCAACCCCAGCATGTAAGTCTTGGATTTGGTGATAGATTTTTTTCCCTCCATAGTTCACTAAAATCAAAATCAGTGCCTGTGGGCCTGTCTCTTCCAGTACTCGAGAGAGGCTGCAAGTTTCCAGTTCAGTCTGATAACTTTTTAACAATGAACTCCTCTAATCAGGCTGTAAAGATTCACTCCATATGCGGACAATAAGTCACAATAACATGGCTGAAGAAATGATGACCAAGCCACAACACAGAAGATGGAGAAGCGACGATGTTTTGTTCCATCCTGGACCATTATCAAGTCATGTGTTCATCACTCGACTTGGTAATGGTCCCGACGTACTGGAACGTCATCGTTTCTCCATCTTTTGAGTTGTTGTTCAATCACCATTCACTCGATATGGTGAATCACGGTGACTTCAGTGATTCACTGCATGGTCAGCTGCAAAATGTCACTCTGGTCTTACGGAGTGAAGGAGTTTTGCTTTTTATAAGAGCTGAAGTTTGGTGATGCTTATTTATTCCTGAGGCTTTACATTGTGAATTATAGATAAAATGAACGGACGAATGATATTTGTATTATTGAGAAAATCGGTAAGAGCCATGCGGAGGATGTGAACCTATGCTCTGGGTACTCCCAAGCAAATGCCTTAGACCACTACACCACGATATGGTTAAAAGAATTGCAGCCTGGGATTCAACTGAATCCTCTAGGGTTTCTGAGACTTCCACTGAAGCCTAATCAGGGTTTTACACAAGGTAGTCCAGAATTCCTAGACTACAAAGCCAGAGTGCATGGGGGAAATTGTGTTTTCCCTTGCCTAAAATTTAGGGAATCCTAAACCCTGTTTAAGCTTCAGTGGAAGCCTTTGGAATCCTTGAGGTTTCAGTTGAACCCCAGGATGCAATTCTTTTGATCATGTCGTGGTGTAGTGGTGTAAGGCATTTGCTTGGGAGTACCCAGAACATAGGTTTGAATCCTCCTCACAGCTCTTACTGATTTTCTCCTTGATACATCATGTTAATGTGATTTCTTAGTGCATTTGTATTATTATAAATCTATAACCTGGTCTCACTACATTATTCATCTATGTTTCTTCAGGATTGATGTCCTCCCTTCCCATGAATGCGGGGGAAACATGGTTAATGATACTGCCTGGATGATTTTTAATTTAACGGTGTGAATTTTATTTTCTTCTTCGCAGGCTGGAGGAAGCGAGGACAAGGGAAGCGCGAAAGTGATGAACCTGGTCCTCAGGCATCTCTCTGTGCTGATGGGCTTTAGTCCTCAGGAGCGTTGCTTTTCAATATTACCCTCCAAGATCAGGTAACGTGCGTGTGCAATTTTTTTTGTTTTTTATCTCTCTCTCCAGAAGGGAGAGCTTATTGACAGTGTAGCTCATCCTGTGAGTGAACATACTGCCATAGCAGTATGAACAGCTCTCTCCAGTTGGAAGAAAATGTACTGGATTGTTCATGAACATGAGGTAGGTACACCACAAATAGCAGTGAGACGTAAACCCATTGGGCACAATGTACAAGAATAACATTAAATCAACATTATCAATGTTAATTCAATATTGAATCAACATTAACAATGTTGATTAAATATTGTATTAATGTTACACTTGGATATGGTGCCCACTTGGAATTTGTTTTCCCATCCATACCCTCTCCACAGAAGTACACTCATATTCATGGAGAGGGAAAAGGAAGGGGTGAGCTGAGGTATATATATACATAAAGATTTAAATTACAACTTGTAATACAATACAGTACTATAACCATGCTTTGTTGTAAAGTATATATAAGGTATATACTTATAGTTCAAAACTCTCCGTAACTGCACATAGACACTAAATAATTTGTTGCCTGTGACTCGCCATAAATATTGTATGTGCTTCATTATCCATGCATTGATTTATCTTCATTTAAATTTTTCTTTAATTGTCATTATTGTCTCCTGTAATTATAATAATAATAATAATAATAATAATAATTTATTTAGGAAAAGTACATACAGTACATAGATGCAGAGTTACGGTACAAACATTCTGTTTGATTTATCTTGAGGTTATCTTGAGATGATTTCGGGGCTTTAGTGTCCCCGTGGCCCGGTCCTCGACCAGGCCTCCATCCCCAGGAAGCAGCCGGTGACAGCTGACTAACACCCAGGTACCTATTTTACTGCTAGGTAACAGGGGCATAGGGTGAAAGAAACTCTGCCCATTGTTTCTTGCCGGATTGAACCCGGGACCACAGGATCACAAGTCCAGCGTGCTGTCCGCTCGGCCGACCGGCTCCCCAGCTTATAGATAGAGGCAGTACATACAATACCTAAAGCCACTAGTACGCATAGCGTTTTGGGCAATAGCGCATAACGTTATCTCATATTAGCATTAGCATTATATCTCTCATTAGCGCATAGCGTTATCTCGGCAAAACTGCCACTTTTATAAACTGTATTGCCAAACCTTTATTTGTGTTGCTACTGGAGGTTAGGGATAGGTACTGCTGCAGTGTTAGTGAATGTCTGAACAGTTTGATAATGCTGTTAACTGTATGATTGATTCCCCTTAAAGCAAAAGAATTCTACTTTACTAGGATTTATTGCTTCAAGCAAAGTTTTGTATATTATGCTGTATTCAGTTTGACGGCTCATTACAGTAATTTCAAGACTGAATGCCCAGTATACATAATTTCAAGACTGAATGCCCAGTATACATAATTTCAAGAATGAATGCCCAGAATACACAATTTCAAGAATGAATACTCAGTATATGTTATTACGAGAATGAAAGCTCAGAATACAACTTGACTTAAACAGTTCACTATTTATTGGTTGTATAATTTTTATACATGCCTACATGACTGTGAGTGTAATATATGTTCACATGAGTGTTATTTATTTAATGAGACTATATATAATTTATGTATATATATACTGTACTGGAGATAAAGATTTTGTAGTGAAAGTGTGAATTTTGGAGTTGGCACTGCCATTCATGGTGGAGAATGGACTTGATTTTAACACACACACACACACACACACACACCTATAAGGTGTGGAGGTGTGTGTGAAATAAGGTGGTGGAGGCCAAGACCGTCAGTAGTTTCAAAGCGTTATATGACAAAGAGTGTTGGGAAGATGGGACACCACGAGCGTAGCTCTCATCCTGTAACTACACTTAGGTAATTACACACACACACACACACACACACACACACACACACACACACAGGTTAACAATCTCTGAAGATTATTACAAAAATATCACAGGATATATTAATCTGGTAATGGATGAGGAAATAGCCTTTAATTGATCATCATCATCAACCACCATTCAACGTTTATGTGTTGTTCCTTTTTTTGTTCCTTTCAGAGCATCTCCAGTCTTTAATGCCTTCTTATCTAATCTGCCACATGTTTTGGATCACAATTTCTCTATGGGGACGCTACTGCTTCCTACCTGCCTGCCAGTGTTGCAGTTCTGCAGCGCTCCGCACAGGGTGGCGGATCTCCGCTACCCAGGATTTAGCTTGTGGTGTCTTCAACCTCATCCTAGAAAATACTGGCTGAAATCCGTTCTTACTTTCTTGTATAAGGTATGTAAAGAATTAGTATTTGGGTTTAGAGTCTCTCTGGTTGTTGTTGTAGGCTGGCAGTGTGGTTGTTGTTGTTGTTGTTGTAGGCTGGCAGTCTGGTTGTTGTTGTAGGCTGGCAGTCTGGTTATTGTTGTTGTAGGCTGGCAGTGTTGTTGTTGTTGTTGTAGGCTGGCAGTGTGGTTGTTGTTGTTGTAGGCTGGCAGTGTGGTTGTTGTTGTTGTTGTTGTAGGCTGGCAGTCTGGTTGTTGTTGTTGTAGGCTGGCAGTGTTGTTGTTGTTGTTGTAGGCTGGCAGTCTGGTTGTTGTTGTTGTAGGCTGGCAGTGTTGTTGTAGGCTGGCAGTCTGGTTGTTGTTGTTGTAGGCTGGCAGTGTTGTTGTTGTAGGCTGGCAGTCTGGTTGTTGTTGTTGTAGGCTGGCAGTGTTGTTGTTGTAGGCTGGCAGTCTGGTTGTTGTTGTTGTAGGCTGGCAGTGTTGTTGTTGTAGGCTGGCAGTCTGGTTGTTGTTGTTGTAGGCTGGCAGTGTTGTTGTTGTAGGCTGGCAGTCTGGTTGTTGTTGTTGTAGGCTGGCAGTGTTGTTGTTGTTGTTGTAGGCTGGCAGTCTGGTTGTTGTTGTTGTTGTTGTAGGCTGGCAGTGTTGTTGTTGTAGGCTGGCAGTCTGGTTGTTGTTGTTGTTGTTGTAGGCTGGCAGTGTTGTTGTTGTAGGCTGGCAGTCTGGTTGTTGTTGTTGTAGGCTGGCAGTGTGGTTGTTGTTGTTGTTGTTGTAGGCTGGCAGTGTTGTTGTTGTAGGCTGGCAGTCTGGTTGTTGTTGTTGTAGGCTGGCAGTCTGGTTGTTGTTGTTGTAGGCTGGCAGTGTGGTGGTTGTTGCAGGTTGGCAGTCTCGTATTAGACACAGTGCCAAATTCTCACAAATTCAAATCCATTTTCAAAACTTTATGCATATATAAGGCTCTTGGATGAATTGGTGGTGTTAACAATTTGTTTTGCCCGACGTGTGCGCCCCAACCCATCCCAAAATGGTCCTGTCGTTTCCCAGGAGCGCACACCCACACCAAAATGTGTATACTCTTTCCAGTGTTCTGACCTCAATTTCTGTGCTATGTCGTTAATTTCAGTATCAATTTGTACTCAATCTAAAGGCGTGCATTTTAAAACTAGTCCCATAATAATCAAACAAAAAATGGAATTTTAACAAGTATTTTAATTTCGGATGCAAAATGCGTCTCCGCCAGACATCCGTAAAGTTAATTATGGACGCAATATCTGTCGCCGCCGGATGAAAGTGTTAATGGCAAAATTTGTAATTAATAAGTTTTTCATGAGCTGTATGGCTTTCTCCTTGAAAACTCCTTCAGGTCTGTTTTTCTAAGTGCTTTGTCAGACAGGAGTAAAGTATTCGAGCATCCTTCAATGACCAAGTTACATTTGAAATGGATTATAGAGAGCTTGTTCCAGGACAACTATACTCTGATGTCAAGAGAAAGCTGTTGACATAGGTTAGAGGATATTTGAATAATGAAAGACCCATAGTGAATTTAAAAAAGGATTTTAAATGGATCATTTTGCCTATTTTAAATAGGATATACTGTACCTGAGCCTTTCATTTTTCAATGTTTTTAATGCCCAAATTAACAAGTGATTTACCTACATAAGTCAGAGAAGCTACTGTGTGCTATGCAAACTATATCCATTCAATACCAGATACAGTACTTGGTTTGTTTGCTTCTGGAAGTATTGAATGTAGTCCTGTTACAGTAAATTATCTTGTACTTGGACTCGGTTATGCTTATCAGTTTACCACCTATTTACAGATTATCTGGGTAAAGGTATCCACTTGGTACGTATGTCCAAAAAGTTACTTGGTTAAAATTCTCTTTGGCTGAGAATGAAAGCCTTAGTATCAAAGTCAGCTTACGAGAGGCACAATATAAATGCCTTTCATGTGTTTGTATCCAATACATTTACAGTGACCTGGCATTACTTTTGTGCATGGCACAGACCTTCAGGCCATTCAGAGATACACATTACATTTTCTTTAGCTGGTGACCCACAGTCATCTCATTGTTTTCTTGTATATTGATTATTTAGTCAGTTAAGTATTATTTTTGTATTTTTTCTTTCAGTACAAGTACAGCAGTCAGCCACTGTCAACGCAAGCTCTCTCTCTGGTCCGCATAGTGCTAAACACCATAGATAATCACTATCATCGCTGTCGAAAAGTTGATGACCCAACCTTGTGTGGTGCCAGCTCGGCATATTCTAGAGGTTTGGTGTTACAGCATTTTTGTCATAACGATTGGTAGTATAAAAATAAATATTATTGAAGATTAATTATTGGAATCCACCAATGGAAGATCCCAATACTGTATCTCTGTCTTGCTTGAGGATAGCTGGAGATAAAGCCCATTCCAGTTGCATCAGGCAAGATGTCAAGCTTGATAAATGTTATTTTGATTATTATAATCATTAAGAAATTTTATACTGTGATACATATGAAAAATGAATTCCTAATCCAAGTAGTAAAAAGTTTCATTGTTCATGAACTAGCTTATCAATACAAGCTGTTCTACCTCTTCGCCCTTACTTCATTACACACAGAAATCACAATAGCGTGATGCATCAAATAAACAAATCCAGAAGGGCCGTGATGAGGGTTCGAACATTTTTCCCTCATGTTCAAACATGAGGGAAAGTAACATTTATCAAGACTTAATTTGCTTAGCTAAATAGATTTTGGGGGTTCAGTTCTTGAGCCCATTATGGGCCTCTGTATCCTTTTCGAATGCTGCTGACAGGATGGGTATGGGAGTGCATAAAAATGACTTAAACTAACTCAATTTGTGTATGAGACCTAAAAAATAAACTGCGTTTGCAAAAGAGGTGAGCCAAGGATCTATTGGAGGAAATGAAACGGAGCATCCTGGAGACTCGCCACCTCAGTCACCTGGTCTGTTTCCTGGAAGTGGCCGTGTCGCCCACGTCACTGGAGGACCCCACACTGAGCCACGGACACAGTACGTTGCTCATCACACATCTTATGTTCCAGTTGATGACAATATAAAGTATTAGAAAAGAAAGAATTCATTTGGAATTGACATTTATTTTTCATTAATTCTTCTAATAATTATCTTGCATTGATTTACTTTTGGTTTAAAAAGGTATAAAATGTGGTGTCTTGCTTGAATTCAATAGTTCAAATCACAGCCTGCAAGTTAAAACTAATATAAGTTTTACATGGTAAACCTAATTAAATTTTAGATATCCTTTTATGATTGTCTTTCATTTCACATTAAACAATGGTTACTATAATGAGTCTGACAATTCATATCAATGACTTTTCAGGGGCGTAACTATGCATAGTCATCTTAAATTGGCATCTGTTGGATCTGAAGACAGCAGGAAGCAAAGGAAGAACAATGAGTCAAAGTAAGTACTGGACCGTTCTCATATTTATGAAAATGTCATGCACCCCAACTACCATAGCCATCGCAATATTAAATGGGATTCTTGTATTGTGATTTGTGGATTTGTAATCACTGAATTGTGTGTCCCTTGAGGGACTTGAAGTAGAAGGGGGTAGAAATAGCCTAATCTACTCTATTCCTTTGAGATGTATTTTCTTGTCTCAATAAACATGTTTGAACTTGAACATAGCCACCATTTTTATGTGGCTTACGTTGAGACCAGCAATACTCTTAATTCTTGCCTCAGACTTGAGGCAGTGTCAGTGCATTATCCGCATTACAGACTTGAGCGTGTCAGTGCATTATCCACAAATTTTACAGATTAGTTGCAACAACAAATATAATAGGTTGTTAGTTAAGTAGGTTAAAGATTCCTTAACATTAAATAAAGGACTCATGACTGACTTCTCTCGTTAATTTGATTTATTGTTAAAGTAACTTATGTATACTGTACATTATTTTTCTTTTTTCAGTTTAGCGGCAGATGGTGATGATGTAGAACCAGAATTGGAAGCCATACCTGAAAGTCCAAAAACAGACAGTCCGATTTGCCAGGTAGGCTTGCTGTCTGCAAGATTTTTTTGGGCTTGATTTCTCTGGATTTCTCTTAACAACACTTATTGTTTGTGCCTAAATCAAAATTTTAGTATATGAAATATATAGTATTGTTAAGAGAAGATTGGTATTCACAATGGACTCTGCAGTATAGTGTTAAAACTCCAAATATGTGGAAGGAGCCAGAATTCGGCGCCAAAATAAAGCTTGACTGTCATATTTCAGATCGGCGTCGTATTATGAAAACTGCACGTCAATTTGTGTAAAATCTGACAAATCGCCATTTTCACTAATTTGCAGATTTTCGGTATAAAAATTCGTAATTTAAGCACAGCTGTGTCCCAACCGAATGGTCCTGGGTTTGGTAACTGGCAAGGCAGATGCATTTGGGTAATATTCCCATTACCTGATGCCTGTGTTCACCAAACAGTAAATAAGGTATCTGAGATTTAAGCAAGTATTGTGGGTTGTATCCCAGGAAAGGTCAGTAGTGGCCTTGTGGAACCTTTGTAAGCCCTTGAGCTGCTCAGCTATTTAACAATACTGTATCATGTACACCTGACAAAACGTTCTGTAGTTAAGAAATCAAATAGGAAAGAAATCCGAATTTGTGTTCGAGAGGTAATACTGTAGTAAATTGTGAGTGGAGCCGGGTAAGGGTTAACAAGCCTAATGTGTCCTGACTGTGAGAAACCATAAAGCTATGCAGGATCTGAATTATCTATCTACTGTATTATCTATAAATTATCACAAAACTTTTTAGTCATTATTCCACTTTGTCAGCTGTAGAGCAATATCTGGGTTTTAAGATACTATTGCATCCTAGATAAGGTAAATATACTCTAACTTTCCTTTCTCTAAATGCTTTCTTGGGGGTATTATGAAGGTGTTCTCTGTAGAATATTTTTGAAAGATACTCTTTAGTGGTGTTAGATTTCTTATCCATGCAACATCCACTTATTTTGCTTTTAATTCAAGAAAGTGATGTTTCACTGCAGATAAAGTCTTTCTTAAGCATCTAAAAGGGGTTTGGTGCACCTTAGCCAGATGCAATTTGTTCATTTGATATGTTAGAGTATTGCGATTTCTGTGTGTCTGGCTATTACATTATATATATTGCTGTACTTAGGTATATATATACATACATCATACATACATACCAAGTAAATGTCCAATATAGGCAAACTTTGCTACTGAATTTACCAAGCTTGCCATTAAGTAAACAGGGAGCTGTTACTGGGTTTGTTGTGGCACAACTTGACCCTTGCGAGGCCCGTGATTTCCTCAAAGTTTTGGTGGAGTTGTACTCACTTAGTTGTGCTTGCGGGGGTTGAGCTCTGGCTCTTTGGTCCCGCCTCTCAACCGTCAATCAACTCTGGGTGTAGGTTTGTGCCGGTGTTTTCCAGGAGTAATTGTGGGAATGTACTATAATTTTCCCTGGAGTGATAGGGAATGTTCCAGTGTTTCTCAAACATTGTGGGTGGGAAGCACAAGTGTAATTATCCAAGTGTTTTCATTATTTTATTTATTTTAATATATTTACGTATTATGAAATATGAGTTTGGTGCATATATATTGTTGCAGGAAACTCTTGGTGAACTAGAACCTTATGAGAACATCATGAAGGGTGAGCAAGCAGTGATGCGTGTGGAACATGATCACAATACTAAAGCTATTGTGATGCATGCACCATGTGCAATGCCTTCTTCTGCTTCCATCATAGTTCCGCAGACCATCCGTGCACAGGCAGTTACATCAGTTATGGCTTCACAGATACAAGCATTTGATGAATCCTTTACTGTTAAGTAAGTATGATATTACTGAAATTGGAAGAATATTTTGCAAGTTTAGGTATTTTATATATTTGTTATTGTTATTTTTATTATACATTATACTGGTATATGTTAGTAATGGAAGATTAGCATTGGAAGAGATTCGGTTGTTGGGAAGAGACTGTATTGGTTAAATTTTTTGGTGTTGAGAAACTCTGGACATAGGATAACACAATATACTAGCCTGATATAATGTGATCTGTGGATTCAACCCACAAATAGGACCAAAACATTCAGATACTCTAGAACAAAAACAGTGCTTTTAATGCTTAGTGAACTCTCATGTAATGGTGCCAGCCTTCAAGCTCTCTTTACAGTGAACTGTATATACAATACTGGAATTTGTTTAAGAACTGGGAAACAAGAGTAAAGGTTCTCTTTTATTTTCTTTGGTATTTTATTTTGTGTACTGTAGTTTGCTTAAAATATCTTGTATATCATGTTTCTTCGGAGCTATCCCACTTGGTTGCTCTCTAAGAATAGATCCACTGTGACTTATGTTCCTGATTAGTAAGTCAGGAAGGTCAACATTTTATTTATATACTTATTGCCTTTCAGAATTCATAATGCTGAACTCGCCACAGTAGACGTAAATCTTCAAGATGATGAGAGAGTGCGAGCAGGAAATTTGCAAAGCAATGATCACGTTGACAACAACTGTCATCGGACATGGATTCTTGGACATGATGAAATGGAAGTAGTCAGCAGCTCGGAGGTACGCTACTGTCTATTATTTTGTAATACAATATTGTAAAATTAGAACATAATTAAAATGGCCTTTGCTACTGTGATAGATTTTGTAGTATATAATTTTGTGGTTATTTTCAATTCTTAGTCAAATAACATCTTATGTGTCTTGTGCACCATATTGAAATATCCACTCGAAAAATGGATTACAGTTAATTATCTGCTACATTATTCATTCCATGGACATATATTCTAGTTAACAGATACTATGACTGACAAGATAATAGATGAGATTATGTATTATATTTCAAGTTTATCACTTAAGGCTATAAGGGTATGTAGTCTTATAAATATACCATCTGCAAATTTAGCATTGTACTATACGATGAAACCTCAATAACATGATGTGTTAATGAGATCCGGGGTTGATTCCATTGTATGGCCTCAGTATTTTCTAGTAGTATTGTAGTTCCTGTAGTAGAGAGACGCCTGGTGGTTGCTCAAGGAGGCTGCAGAGGGGTACTTTGTATTCCGGCGAGAATTTTCATCATAATGATAGACTGGAATTCATGGATTTCTAAAAAAGGCCAAACTTAATTCCCTCATTCAAGAAAGTGGACAGACAGGAAGTCTTGACCTTCAGGCTGATTGCCTTATCATTCATTTGCCTCCAAAGTTTTGATACTTACCCCTCACAAAAGACTTATATATGAGATGGAGAAACAGCTTGAGGTAACTGGAAGGATACTAGACTGAGTAAGATAAGTCCTAGCAGATGTGAAACAAAGAGTCATAGTCATTAATATCAGAGTAGAGAAAGATATAGAAAAATGGGATCACTCAAGGCTTAGTCCTTGGTTCCTGGCTGTTTGTTATGTCTAATTTCTGTAAGCAACCTACCAGAAGAGACCAGTTTCTACATGTACCCAGAAAACAGAGGAAAACTAATAATCACTGGGAGAAACCAGTATATACAACCAAAGGCTGTTTCTGTCAAACCAAAAATGCATCTAAGAGCCATGTCATACATCCAGGGAACTGGGGTGTGTGCAGTCAGGATTACGTAAGTTTTATTTGATTAGAAGCTTTGGAAATCCTGAATATAAAATTTGATTAAAACAATCGGTAATCAATGATTAAAGTAACTAACCAGTCGACCTTTATAGGAAATAAAAATGATTAATTTAAGTTTCGTGCGTTAAAATAGATAAGCATTCTTCAACAGGAGGTAAGAATTCTCACTTAAAATTCACTCTTTAATTTGTATACTTCAAATGTATCATACTGATATACTCTTAAATTTGGGAGAATAAATCGGCATAATACAATATAAATTTTATATTCTCAATAACCCATGCATGCATTACTTTTCTGTTGTGTAGAAAGGCAAACTAGCTCACACCAAATCCTCCAAACCAAAGGTTCACCGTACAAGTACTGTTGATCTGGGCTTTCTAGGTCATAATTCACCAAAGGAAAGTCAGGTAAATGTGTACAATATATAATTGAGATATGTCTTGGAATAATGAAATATATTGTATTGTGTTATAACATCACCATTTATTGTATGTTAGTATGCTGTTAACAAATCTAATGGTGTAAAGTGAGAGGAAACATACAGTCAGGAGGGGACAAAAATACCTCTCAATTTAAGAATTGAGAGGTATACCAGGGTGTTCTAAAACCTAATTTTCTCTGTTGGTATGTTTTAAGTTTGAACAGTTAAACAGGATCTACATACTAGCTCCCATAACATGCCTAGATAACTAGGTCCAGGAGAGACTGGTACACATGCATTTTCCCCCCCCAGTTCTGGGAGGGCCCTCTCGGCAGCTTCCCTTAGCCAAAAACCACTCAGACTGTGCCTTACAAAAGTATATCAGGCCTCTGAGTCTTGTCCTGGCCAATCGGGAGCCAGGACCAGAATTTGGCTCTCTTTAAGAGACAAGATCAGGGATATGCTTAAACCCAAGAAAACTCCAACCAGACAGCATTAGTGTAACAAAACAAGTAACTGCTTGAAATATATTTGGGATCCAACGGTAAACGTTGGATATATTTGGGATCCAAAAGGTAAATGATCATTGTTTCAATTTAAACACACCAGCTATGATTCATCTGATCACCACTTTGCGGTAGCTTAAGTCGCTTGAAACTGTAGCCAGTTAACCCCCCCTCATTCACAAGCTGCCCCAAATGAACCCCAGAGAGGAGTAAGGAACAGGGTGGAGACAGGAAGCTAGTGTGGTCTTAACCAGTAGAGGTCATTTCAGTACAGTATATTCAACACTTGATTTCAGTTAAAGGTACCTCATATTACTGAGGTGCTCCCTAACTGAATGTTATCTCATACTGGCAACTTGTCAAAGAAGTCAGTATTTCTGTAATGGAACATTTTAAAAATAAAATAAATATAATAAAATATAGAAATGGAAAAAGCAGCCTGGGCTTGACCAGTACTTAACCACAGGAAGCTACTGAGGTCCCCCTCCAGAAAAGGGCAGTTCATTACATTCAGTGCATGATTACCAAGAAATAAATAGGGTAACGCTGTTACGTAACGCTACTTAACATTACTGTTAGGTGATTACTGATAGTTTGTCAAAGCTGATTGAATATAAACCAGCTTAGTGAAATAATTTCAATGCCATCAGCATTACTGACATATGTTATGTATAACAATTTTGATATAAGATAAATATTAAGAAACATTTTTTTCATTACATGTAGACTAGCATGTCCTTATATTTTTCTTAATTTAGAATTTTAATTTGCTTGTTAATATTTTTTCATATCCTTCCAGTGGCAGCTTATTCAAAGACCAATTACCCTACAATTTTCCTTGATACTTTTTATGTCACATTATTCAAGAACTATCTGGTGATCCTTAAGAATCATTTGTTGAGCTTTAAGAACCATCTTTTGATGTTTATTTGTAACTAAAATTAGTATATTTTATTTTGCTGTGTTGTGCATTCTCGATTGAACATATTTTTCTTTACATTGACATTCCAGTTAACGATAAAAAATAAAAGTAGACATCAGTGAGAACGTGTGGCCATTCTCGATTGGCAGTTGTCAGCGGGAACAAGGCTTCAAGGATATAGAGCGATATTGATGTAAACTAATTTCAAGAAAGGAGTCTGAAATTTAAATTATCTGTAATTCTAATGTAGCATTATAGTATTTTAAAACTTTACTAAATATTATTTAATACGGTATTATATAATTTGTATAGCCTTTGAGGTAGCTTATGTTAAAATGTAACTTAAAATATTTCAGCAACTGAAAGCAAATGGACGGGAGGTGAAGAAAGGGCCAGCATCAGGAAGCCATCTGTCTCCAAAATCTGTTCACAGTCTCGGACAAATTACTCCAGGTATCCTATGCAAATAGTTAATATGAACTACTGATTAGTTACCTGAAAGTTTGGATCACTTACTATGCATTTGTTACCTAAATAATTAAGATGAATTACAGTATGATAATGATATAAATAATAAGAATGAGCAGGTCATTTGTGTGTAAATAGAATAAAGTACCACAGTTTAGTCTTGTAGATTATTGCTTCCATCATCTTGATCATGCAAGCTATCTTGATCTTGATCATGCAAGCTATCTTGATCTTGATCATGCAAGCTATCTTGATCTTGATCATGCAAGCTATCTTGATCTTGATCATGCAAGCTATCTTGATCTTGATCATGCAAGCTATCTTGATCTTGATCATGCAAGCTATCTTGATCTTGATCATGCAAGCTATCTTGATCTTGATCATGCAAGCTATCTTGATCTTGATCATGCAAGCTATCTTGATCTTGATCATGCAAGCTATCTTGATCTTGATCATGCAAGCTATACCTCAAACATAGGAGGTATGACATCTGAATTTGTCAATACATGACATTGGTTGGATATAAATAGAAGCTGCCTTGGATGGGTCAGTAGACCTTCTTCAGTTTCCTGTTTTCTAGTGTTTTCCTCCTTATTGAATTTGTTTATCAGTATACAAAAATTTTATCCCTTTGGTATTCTGCTGGTTCTGTAGTTCCCTATTTTCTACATTATCAGTGTTTTTGTGGTCATAATAACAAGTATGGATTATGTGCACTCAAGCATACTTAACATTGCTTCTTATATGTAGATGATTTTGTAGTTTCTCTTTCTCTTCAATAAACTGTGCTTGCCTTGTCACCAAACTCAGTTCTGCCTTTAACTCAAGACAAAGAGTTTCTCTAGGTTCACTTAGTGAAACATTCCTCAAACGTTAACAGGTGGCCAATGCAGCAATGACTAGAGATGTGCTAGCACTCATGCCATCCTCATGTCTGCTACCTTCTGTCCTTCTTTATCTATCCTGCAAGAATATTTATGAAAGGATTTGGCAGCTCAAACTATATCTTTGCATCATGTTTTGCATTCCTGCTCTGATTAACACCCATTTTCTGCCAGGCTGCTCTGGACAGACTCGAACACCACTGGAGTTTAACATTGCTGTCCAGATCCAAGGTTGTCATTTCTTAGTCAATGACCCGAGTTACTAGTATGGGGGACTGCTAATGTTCTGATATCATGACTTGAATTCAGTGAATTGTAGGCAATGATCCTTTATCCACTAGGGTATTTCTTTAGTAGTGGGTTTTTACTCTGTTGGCCCTTGGTATAGTAATTGTAAGTCTCCCACATGTGTCTACTATCTTACACGAGTAGTCTTTCTAAGGGACACAGAATACATTACTTGACATTACTGACATGCACGAGTTTGGAATTTGACAACAAACATTTATGCTGGTCATTGTGGTTGTAAAGAATTTACCCTAACTATTGATCTAGTACTATGTGGTCTGACCTGTAATATTTCCCTTATAATAATAATAATAATAATAATAATAATAATAATAATAATAATAATATTTTATTTACAAGAAGATACAATGGGTTGGTGAGATTACACTAGTGATATTTTTACATTCTTGCAAAGTCACTAACATGCATAGCGTTTCAGAGCCTTAAGCATCAGTAACCTATTAAACAAAATGTCTGATTCATATTCCAATTACTGTATATATGTATCGTATACAAAATATATTTTTTTTTATTCACCACGATGTTTTCTTTCTTCTAGGTGAAGCATTGAAATCCATTGAGCACGAAACCCGTGCGAAGTACAGCAACCCGGATATGTCACCTCGAGAACGTTTGCTTCCTGTTGGAATGGGTAATACACACATGTATATTCTTTTTCTGATTATTTGAGCATTTCATTTGGAAAATTATATAAACTTGTAAGATATGGAATAAATTACTATTATTTGTTAGAATGTGTACCCTTTTATGTTATTTACTCTCACACCTTTGTTTGATTGGTTTCCATTCAGAGTTTCTTATTTGAAGTAAGATGAAAATGAGTTTCAGATCTCTCTCTCATTCTGTTGCACCCTAGGATAAGATCCACTGTGTCCAGTGGATATGTAACGGAATGTAGGACAGAAATTAGAGAGAGAAGAAGGAAGATATTGAGAAAAGAGGAAGAACTGCATAGTGAGAGGACAAGTGAGGTGGAGTGAGGGAAAACTAGTCAGGTGAAAAGGAAAGTTTAGAAAGATAGAAAATGGGATGCAGGGTTGGACACTCTAGTATTGACACCTTAATAGGAAACTGAAAGGGTAAGGATACTGGACAATTAATGGCACTAAGTCAAAGGTAGTAAAGAGAAAGGTAAGCCCAGTATCATGTCGGCAGGTGCCATTAATACACAAGGGAGGGATGACATTTTTAAACATAATCACTTTAGAAAGACAATTTCTAACTGTTTCCCTAACAGAGACAAAATTAAATTAAATGATATAAGGTGCTTACCTTGAGGTTACCTTGAGGTGCTTCCGGGGCTTAGCGTCCCCGCGGCCCGGTCGCCGACCAGGCCTCCTGGTTGCTGGACTGATCAACCAGGCTGTTGGATGCGGCTGCTCGCAGCCTGATGTATGAGTCACAGCCTGGTTGATCAGGTATCCTTTGCTGGGTACAAGAGGGGCATAATTTCAGCTAATTCCACTCATTGTTGAGGTACTTGATGTTCGTCTTCTAGAATCTTGATCACACCCCAACATCCATAACCACATGCTCCCCACCCACTCTCTTCTCCGTCTGAACACGCTCTTATATACAGCTGTAAGGAGCATATGAGATCCTCTGCCTCCTTTGATGTGAAAGTTGTAATCCTCATGGATTACTATGGCAGCATCATAACTGAGAACCTCGTAACCACCTCATCATTGACCTGAGTTGACCTGGCCCTTAGTTAGTGCCCAACCAAGGTGTGAATTTCTATTGTGTACAGCCGACTGGTAGGCGACATACCCAACCTTCTAACTGTTGCTGTTCTGCTGTGTACTGCCTACTTGTTACATATAAAATCAGACATAATCAGGCAAGATGACATACTGGCATTATTGCTGTTACTTATCAAGATGTTCCTCTGTAGTCATAATGATGATAAGGAGTCACTGGTGGACATTTACTTCAGCCCAAAATGACAGTGTTTCATGTGTAATCTTCTGAACCCTCCCTTGACATCACAAGTGAGCACTCTGGATAACAAGTTGGTCTGCGTGAATATCTGCAATAACCACCCAACTGGTGTTCTGGTAGGCAGTGACTGATTTTAAGGTTAAGCTGGCATTTCTACACAAGTCTGGAAGCTCATCAAGTAGCCTTCAGTTGACTAGCTGTGGTCAGTGCAATTTTTTAGTGCTGGGTACGGATCAGTTTGAATATCTTGTTAATTTTTATTTTGTCATAATCTCTCCTTGGTGACTATTGTCAGATGTTCAGCAATATGATATTCTCGGGTGAGTGCTTCGCCCTCTCATTGCTGTCCATGAGAGTCCCTAGGTCTTTTTAACTGATTCATCAGGTTCATTCTTCTGTTACCTGTTATGTTTACAAGTTGGAGACAGTAGAACTGTGAACCTGTGAGTACTAGCAGTACTATGGTATGTGAGTTGTTGATTTATGGAATAAATTACCAAGTAACATAATAGGTGTATGACTGCTGTATTCTTTCAAGTGAATGTTATAATAATTTGTTTTATCAGGGACAGGCAGGACAGGCAATCTGTAATTACCTAAGTGTAATTACCCAAGTGTAGTTACAGAATGAGAGCTACGCTCGTGGTGTCCCGTCTTCCCAGCACTCTTTGTCATATAACGCTTTGAAACTACTGACGGTTTTGGCCCCCACCACCTTCTCACCTAATTTGTTCCAACCGTCTACCACTCTGTTTGCAAAAGTAAATTTTCTTATATTTCTTTGGCATCTTTGTTTAGTTAGTTTAAATCTATGACCTCTTGTTCTTGAAGCTCCAGGTCTCAGGAAATCTTCCCTGTCAATTTTATCAATTCTTGTTACTATTTTGTACATAGTGATCATATCTCCTCTTCCATCTTCTAGTTTGGCATATTTAATACCTCTAATCTCTCCTCGTAGCTTTTGCCCTTCAGTTCTGGGAGCCACTTAGTAGCATGTCTTTGCACCTTTTCTAGTTTGTTGATGTGCTTCTTAAGATAAGGGCGCCATACGACCGGTGAAAGAAGACGCTAACCTACTTGGATGGAACTCTGGACCTGGGATGCCAGATTGGGCTACTTGTAGCCCAATTCGGTTACCAATTAGGATAATTGCATTCAATTAAAAAACCATCTACGTATGTCACTACTTACTATTTTTTTGGCTACAGTTAAAATAAGCTTTGCCGTTTATTCTAAAAAGCGAATTAATCGGGAAAAAAAAATATTTGGCTACTTTTATTGTAAAGTTTGTAACAATTAGTTCTTCAGCTCGCGACTTTCGGCAACTCAAATCTGGCATCTCGCGACTTTCGGTAACTCAAATCTGGCATCCCTGCTCTGGACTGCAAGGCCGCAGAGGACGCTCCCGCAGCTGAGCTACGACGGCTTCTTCTGTATACTCGCCTGTGTCTTCCTGACTCTCTGTTTATGAAGTCGGTCGGCCGAGCGGGCAGCACGCTGGACTTGTAATCCTGTGGCCCTAGGTTCGATCCCAGGCACCGGCGAGAAACAATGGGCAGAGTTTCTTTCACCCTATGCCCCTGTTACCTAGCAGTAAAATAGGTACCTGGGTGTTAGTCAGCTGTCACGGGCTGCTTCCTGGGGGTGGAGGCCTGGTCGAGGACTGGGCCGCAGGGACACTAAAAAGCCCCGAAATCATCTCAAGATAACCTCAAGGAGAAGATGAATCCTGTCTATGACATAGCACACTCTTTCCTTAGGAATTAACCAGATCAACTAACAAAATTATAAACAAAATAATAGTTATTAAATTCCTCAATTTTCATTGTGTAAAATATAACAAGTCAAATGGTAGTTTGAATTTACTATTTATGCTATATTATTTCAATGATTTTCAGATAAATGTGGAGTTGCAGACTCGGGATGCAATAAAGATGGCAGTGAGCGGCAGGTTAAGAGAGCAGGTGCTCAGGCTGTACCCAAAATGGAAGAGGCTGTTTATGCAGAAGCTACTGTTGAAGAAGCAAGTGTTTACGATCACTCTGTAATTGAAGCAGTGGTTAGAAAGGACTCGAGAGTGGTGATGGATCCACGAGGAGACACTGGACATCCATCTTACATCCACCACCGCTCTCCGCAGTCTCCACTCTCCATGATGGACTTGATGACTCTGGGTATGACAGTAGCAAAATTTCCTTATTTTTTTTTTGTTCCATAATTTTTTGCAAAACAGACATCAAATTGGTATTTGTAGGAGTTTACATCCTGAGCAATCATTAGGATTCATCTTATGGTTTTCCATAGTCATGGAGAGAAAGCCTATTGACTTATTAATGTCTGCCCTAGGCTAACAACTACTGATGACACACCCAGGATGCAACCTACAACAATTTGCTAATTTCTTGGTACCTATTTACTGCTTGGTGAGCAAAGGCATCAGCTAAGAGGAAACTTGCTCAACTGTATGTGCCTCACCCAGGGACCGTATCCAGGATCCTCCGTAATGTTGTAATGCTCTGAGCAGAAAACAGAGACCACGGGATGAATGTTTGAAATGTGTATCTATCAGATAGTGTCATTAGGAAACTGTGTTAAAATAAATAACCAATATTTTCACAAATTTTAGGTTTTCATTAAAAGTCTCGTAAAATCAGGTAAATTGGGTAAAAAATAGTAAAGTCTCACATTTAGCCTTTACAATGCTTTGATACAAAATAATTGAATGAAGCTTCACTGGGCCACAGTTCTCATTAGAATCACTGATGCATAATACAGTACCAGATACACTAATTTAAACATATATATATATTCTTGGCATTAATACTATACTGTGCTACACAAGATTTACATATACAGTACATTGTTGTGCAGGCGATGAGTCACAATAACGTGGCTGAAGTATGTTGACCAGACCACACACTAGAAGGTGAAGGGACGACAACGTTTCGGTCCGTCCTGGACCATTCTCAGGTCACAATCGACTTGAGAATGGTCCAGGACGGACCGAAATGTCATCGTCCCTTCACCTTCTAGTGTGTGGTCTGGTCAACAGTACATTGTTAGTCAGTTGTGTCTCACCTATCGGCTCCATCCTGTACAGATAGTGTTAGATTAGAGATCATAGAGAACTTGGACTTTGGTGCTCAGGTTTCCTCATTATACTACGGTCAAGGACTGAGGTCCTGTTAATCATTTTTGGCAATTAATTTTCCTGTGGGTGTTAGGCATTAATGTACAGCATTACAGAGATTTGCTTAACTCTTACCTAGTGTAGTATGGAGGAATATCGTACATAATATTTTAATGCTTATGTCCGTCACTTCAGAGCTTTCTATTTTAATAAGGACTATTGTGTGTGACCATAGTTTCTAAATCTATTTTCAATTACATGTATATATATACATCATAAATGGCTAATTATGTATTAAACAAATAAGTTAAGAACATATCTAAATTGTAATTATTATTATTATTATTATTATTATTATTATTATTATTATTATTATTTTTGTTTAGCATCCTAATTTATTTTTGCATTTTCTATATAGGTTCACCAGTTGAATTAGATGACCAAACAAGTATAGCGATGGACTCACCAAATACAGGGGTCGTGTCTCCTCCAGACGGTTTAGAACTTCCAACTCCTGAAAGGCTTCTGCCAGTTGGTGGGGAAAAGGTCAGAAAATTAGATAAACTGTGTAAAAAAAGGAATTTTACAAGTTCACTTCTTATTCATTTCATTTGTGTAGTTTTTGCGAGTATGTATACACACAAACTTACAGATGTTTGCACATATATAAACATGCAGTACATACATACATACATGTGTGTAAATCACGAAAATTGACGCGTGATGAAAAATATGACAGTGTCAGACCACGAAAGAAGAATTGTCACCCTTCTGACGATGTATTATTAAATACGAAAGTACTTAAGGAAATTCCTGTTTCAATTCTTCCTTCGTGGTCTGACACTGTCACATATATACATACATCCATGTATGTGTATATGTACGTATGGAAGTAATATAGTCAGACTAAACAATGTTAGTTCAGACTGTAGAGACCTCACATGAACTAACTGATGCCCTCAGCTCTGCACTTAGTGTATGTCGTTTTCTAACATGGAAAGCTAACACTATCTATTGTTTATTGTACAGGCAACTCCTGGCAAGAAGCATGAAGACAGTCAACCGGGATCCATTCTGGAACGCGTGTGGCAGGCATTTGGAGGCTGGGCAAATGGAAGCAAGGGTAGCAACCAGAGTACTAACCTCTTCAACTTGGTTTTTGTTAACGTGATGTTCTGGTTTATTTTCTATCCCTTAATGGCTTATTTATTACTCTTACATTGTTTTATTTGTATGATGCCTTCCTGTAGCATTAACCCTTCAATTGCACACCACAACCAGGGTTGTTTCATCGATGATGTGCACCACAACCAGGGTTGTTTCATCGATGATGTGCACCACAACCAGGGTTGTTTCATCGATGATGTGCACCACAACCAGGGTTGTTTCATCGATGATGTGCACCACAACCAGGGTTGTTTCATCGATGATGTGCACCACAACCAGGGTTGTTTCATCGATGATGTGCACCACAACCAGGGTTGTTTTTAGGTACAGTATAGTGTTAGATTTAAAACTCCCGCGGGTGCATGGGGCTCGCATCTTGTTCTTCAGGGCTCCAGTAAACAGATGCCACCTTGAAAAAAAAATAAGAATCATCTGCATCTCGCCTGGCTGCGAGAGACTGAGAGTGTGGCCACGGCAGGTACATACAGCAGTAGCTCATACTACCACAGTACAGCTAGGGGGCTACATCACCATGTAATAATGATGAATATAATACATAACAGATTATTTTGCTTTGATAGTGTTATAGATGATCCTAACTGTGATAAAGATTGTGTACAACTTTCAGATATCAGTAAACACAATGCTAGTTATGATGTACACAGCATGAGGCAGACAGCCACAGCACTCAGTCATTGTTTCATGCATGTGCACATGAAATGGCCTCATGCTCCTTTACAATATAATAACCTTATGGAAATGGATTCATATTCAAGATTTAGCAACAGGAATTTGATATTAATAGCAGTTCTGTGGCTAGTCTTTTTATGCATCAGTCGACATTTGCTGGGGCTTCATTTGATCATATCTTGTAGCTACATGTCATGTTTTGATTATATCACCACACCCACCAGAATTTATTGGTTGTTTATGGTGCATTAAAATGTTCATAGATGTATATGATATGTGTATATAGTGTAATATTAGCAAAAACTGTATGTGTTATTGTTCAAAGAATATAATATTTGAAATCATATTAGTATGTGACACGAATACTGTATTCATGTTAGTATCAATATTCTTTATGTTCTGTAATACAAATACCGTTGAATAATATTACAGCCAAAAAACAATTTGGGAAAAACTTACCAGAAATGGTTCGGGGTTTAATAAAAAAAGATAGACCATTGAGAGACATTGCAATAATTATAAATAATTATATTCGCAGCAACTGTCACCCCATGGGGGTCACTGGGGCTAGCATCTATAAGCACCTACTCACTCAGTGCCCATAAATTGCTTACTTCCCCGCTCCATCACAGCCAAAGTATGTCACATATAATATTTGTTTAACCTTCCCATGATCAGGGAGCTCATTTTAACAATATCAGAAAGAAAACAAATTTGGGGAATTTATAATTTGTGGAAATATTTTTTTTCTTGCACACCACTGAAGGGTCTTATTTAAAGGCTGCACAGTACCAAGGCTAAATATTGTTAGTAAAATAGTATGATAATCCATGTGTATGTTTGTTAGCGTTTCATTCACTTGGACCATCGGAACTTCAAACCATAAAAGCAGCAGCCTGCAGCTCTATCTACTGAAGCACAATAGAGAAGGATCCAAGAGACATCTATCTGCTGTACAACTGGAACATAAGGCCTTTCTTTGGGTGCCACTTTGGCATGAAGGTGTTAGGTGATCTATGTCCTAGTCATATAAATGGCTCGGTAGGTAGAGCTGCAGACTGCTGCTTTTGTGGTCTGCTGTTCGAGGCTCCGATGGTTCGAGTGAATGAGATGTTACTTATTATCCACAATATGGTGGTTAACAATTTATTAGTGTGTTCCAGAATAATTCTAAATTTTTAGAATTATTAATTCAACTGTACAGTATTAATTCCTACTCTTGTTTATTCAGGCAGTGATTGTGAACTGGTGGAGGTAGTGGCACATAAAGATGTCCACAAATCACCGAAGCAAAAGGTAAGGGTTTTGTTTTGCAAGTACTAAATAGATATGGGGAAACCTGCTTCAGTACAGTATATTCAATCATCTCATGATTGTGAATCCACTAAATACGAATACTGTGACTCATTTGTAATACACTGCCAGACTTACTTACTGCAATTTTTATTTTCTTATTACATGGTTTACTCTATTTTTAAGAGATGTGATGTATTTTACAAATTGTATTGTTGTGCAAATTGTATAAATAAGTGTAATACATTCTATAGTAATTCACTTTTTTCTTCACCTTGAAATAACGAAAATGAGTTTTGGAGAACTCCTCTTTCAGCTAAGCCCTGATGCTAGGAAAATAGTAAGAGGGATAGAAGCCCTAAATCAGAAAATAGTAAATACAGAATATGCAGTCATATTCAATGAGACATGTTTAAAAGAAAACCTGCTGCCAGTATACACCAATACATTTATGTATGTATTTATATATTTGTTTTTCTCTTTATAATAATATAATATTGTAATCATAGAGTGTGGTTGGCCAAAGAGCCCAAATGGAGAAGCAGGACCAAGTGAACACCTCTACAGAGGAGACAACTGATACATCAAACTCTGGCACCACAACGAACAATTCAGGTATGTGGTTAGGTTTGTCTGCCCCTCTTGATAACAACTTCCACCACTGACTCCACCTGGCTTCCTTGACACCACTAGCCCTGGAAATTCAGCTTGTTATCAATGAGAACACTAAGGAATTTGTATAACGAAGGAATCCTTCAGGAATATATTCCTTACCAAGGTATCTTTGTATAACATGATTATACACAGTACAAATGTTGCCATTTATAATAATAACTTCTAGATACTTTTCTCTATGCAATTCTCTTCAAATGCCATTGAAATCTTATGTGTACATTGTTGGCCTTTTTGTTGTTTACATAGTTCAGTAATGTATTAGCTTTAAATTTTTCTTGAGTATGCCCAATGGTACTCCATTTTCTTTCTCTAATGCATTTGTTGCTATAGTTACTGTTTATGCATGTTGTCATGGCAACCAGACACATGACTTGCAACTTAAGTATTGTGGGAGAAAAGGACTTTTTGTTTCTGACAGAATTCTTGCCAGAAATGACACTAGAGTATAAAACAGCAGATAAATTTAGTAAGATATGTAAGAATGCTGCTCTTAGTATCCGTGTTATACACGAGTTACTGCCCAGTCGTCCTTCCAAACCAGCAGATGGGGACGAGGCTGATGTGGCTGAAAATGGAAATAACAAATATATTCAAGATCTTGCACTCAAAAAGTTACATGACGATCTTGGATACATAGAAAAGATTCTGTTTGACTTAGCAGATGAACTGGCAGAAAAACAAGCCTTCACATGTCTGGAGAAATGTATTTCATTTGAAAAAGAAGATCACAAGAAAAAGGCTGAATTCATTGCTTTGCTTCAGGGACATAAATGGAAAGCCAAGCATTTTCAGAAGAGTAGCAAAGTGCATGGCCTTCAAAAAGATATAAAAAATGTTAAGCAAGACACTCAGAAGTTAATCCAAGCAAAGGACCAAGAAATTGCAGATCTTTTAAAGGGCATCAGTGATGCAAAACGACTAAATCCTAAAAGAGAAGCATATGAGAGAAAAGTGGCCAAAGTTCAAATAGAGAATCTTCAGTTTAGAATAGAGCAAGAAGAACAGAATATATGTAAGGAAATTGCCAAGGTAGGCCGTGAAATTCCCCAAGAAATACGTGTTCACGATGCATTGACGGCTTTTTTGAAGGAAAGTTGTGCTAAGTTGGAGAATAGAATATTGGAATGGGAGGAGAAATTTCAAGTAGATACTCAGAAAAAGAGGGACGAGGTAGCCAAATGGCAAACAGAGGTCGAAAACAAGCAGCATAATCTCAGTGAAGTGATACAGAAATATGACGAGTACTGGGCAGTAGTAAGGGATTATGAGGTTCAACAGGAGATAGAGCGCCAGAAAAAGGAAGAAGAAGCACTGCATCACAGAGCCGCTGCGAGGATACAAGCCTGGTGGAAGGGTTGTCTGGTCAGGCGTGGAATGAGCTCTGGAATGAAGAAGAAAAATAAGAGAAATAAACAAGTGAAAAAGTAATGTTAACAGGAAAAATATGAACCCCAACTGACAACAAATGAATTAAGTTTTGTTTAAATATTTTCTTGATAAATTATATCATTACACTGTTGGGTGAATTTGAATTATCTTAAGATAAGCTACTGATAATTTACCGAGTGTTAAAATAAAGGAATTACAGTATCTAACTTTAAATACTTGTTCAAGTTGGTAACCTATCATAATTGCTTTGATATTGGTGGTAAATAATGTTCTCAAAGGACAAGTATATACCATGGCCAAACTTAATTAAACTAACTAAACCAAACTTAAACTTATTCTCATATAACAAGGAGATCTATAATGCAAAAGGTGCTTGCTAGAACAGTCCATTACACACATCACTGGCATATGCACAGTCACCTCTTCTATAGTAGCGGTAACATTACTCGATGTGATGCTGACATAAATAACTTACCACCGAGGAGTTGGAGGTTAAGTCCAACCACAAAAAGTTAGCCATTTGTAACGTTAATATACCGTCACAAAATGTCATCTTGTCTGCACATTCTGACACATACAACGACAATGGTGAGTTGTAAGGCTGTGAGTATTTATATTCCCTCTTTCATTCTTACATTTCACATACGCTATTTAAAATTTAGGTACACAAAACCCAGAAAAATATATAGTATAAAAATACACTTGAAACACGAAAGGGAACACCAAATAAACGGCACGGATATTTTGAATGGGACTCAAAAAAAACACCATGGTGTGTACATTACATTTATTTTACAAACACGTGAAATGAGACGTAATATAACAGGGAATAAATTTATCAACTTCACCAGATAATCGGACCATTCTCAAATGACAGCGATAAAACCGAGGCAAATACGTCAACAGTGAGGTGGACACCTCGCACACACCTCCACTTTTGTGGGGATATGCTACACAAAAAAAGTATCGGAAATATGCGTTACAAACACAAACAAACATTCTCTCATGAACATCCTTGCAAACGCTAATAACTGAAACATAAAAATTAACATTGACAAAAATAAAATAAACCGATGTTTAAATAAAAAATTTAGATTAATATGAATTACATTATATACCAGTTATTAGAGAGTAACTTTACAGTTCTTCATATATAAGTTTTTTACAGTACCATGCTATACCTATTATAAACTACTGTATAGTATGTTCATATATTTTATTCAGATAGCAGAGGAAAAGGAAACCTTTGGATATCACATATCCTGGTTTTTCCAATATATAAAGTTTACTTAATTCTGGAAGAATGTATTTTGCCTGAGGTGTTCCACACGTACATCCCTGGATTTTTGCAGATCAATAGCCAATTATACTAATTTCATGTATACAAATTGGTAGTTTTACCTAAATATGCTTGGCCACATGATAACCATTTATATGATGGTTCAGGCTAGTGGCGTAAACAGATTGAGGAAGCCAGTGGCTTGCCAAAGGTCTCCCCATTATTCTAGAGGGTTTTTTTCTGCAAAATTTTAAACTCGAGTAATGCCTTGATATTTACGACTTCACCTGGTAGGCAATTCCTAGCATTATTACCCTATGGGTGAAAAGACATTTCCTCTTTTCTCTCCTACATTGTGGCTTATTGAGTTTGAAGCCACTGTTTGTGGTATACCCCTCATTTAATCACTGTATAGCAGTTAATAGTTGCACTTTCTTTTAATTGCATTAATTCTAATATTTTGTGACTGCAATCAATGTTGGTCTTCAGATGTACTGTCCGTCACAACATATTTGGTGACCCATTATTCAGTACAGCACTGTAGTAAAGCCACAGGCCATGGACTTATTCAGAATTAATCTGTCAGTCAACCATCTTGTCCTCCAGACTCGGGCATAATCCAGACACATTTCTTACATAAAGTTGCAATGGTACAACACTCGCCTGGCACTTCACGGGCACTTTGGCCTGGGTTTGTATCCTGGCCGGGAAGGATTGACTGGGAACCAATCCTTAACTGTAACCTCTGTCCACCCAGAAGTGAATGTATGCCTGGTTGTTAAACGATTTGTCAGGTCATATTCCAGGGAAAATTTGGATTAAGGACCTGCCAGAAATGCTATGCTTGTTAGCGGCTTTACAAGAATGTAAGAACTTATTTAGGATGAGGAAATGAGAGAGAAATTTGTCAAGTGATGCTAATCACATATCTCTTAGGTTCTCTTTTTAACTGGGGGAAGAGAAGTACAACTTTTAATCCTATTTGAGAGGTCATTTCACAATTTAGGACCTTTATGCATGTAATTTCTGCTTGCATTGCATATTATTGAATTCATTCTCCCTTTCATTAGGTCCTGATGATACCTGCATTGGTAAAGGTAATTTGCACAGCAGAGCCAAACCTGTCTCTGTAGAAAGTGAAGAAGAAGGTCTGAAGGATGGATATCGATGGTAGGTCTGAGAGTTAAAGGTACAGTACATGTTTTAATTTTGCTGACAATACAAGTAAATATTTTGTATAAGGTAAAGTGCTAACATGTATTTTCACTTTCAGCTTTAAAAGTTGTAATTCTGAATACAGTTTGAAAATGTTATTGCAATATGAATATTTTACTTACGGTACTCTATGAAGGTATGAAGTAATTATTGCAGAATGCACGAAGAAATTAGAGGAGGAGATATGAACCATTTACAGCAGGAGGCTGTAATTGATCGGAAAAATCTTAATAAACATTGTAGTGACTGAGAATGACAAGAATAACTAAATGTGTGTACTAAAATATGCCTTGAGAAGGCACATTGGTGAAATTATATGGAAATGCTATTTGCTTTTAGAGTTTATTTATTTATTTATTTATTTATTTATGTATATACAAGAAGGCACATTGAGATTGTGAGGATACATAAAATGGTATTTACAATCTTGTAAAGCCACTAGTACACGCAGCGTTTCGGGCAGAATATATATATGATGAATGATAGTAATGAAGAGAAAAATGTATAACAAAACATTGAATGGCAAGAGTAAAGTTAGAAAATTCACTTTGAATAGATCATTTGAAAGTTACCATAAGTCAGTCTTAGTACATAGTACTAAAGTTCAGGTGTGTCAGTAAAGTATGCAACATAAGTAGGAAAATACTAATAACGTGCAAGGAAACACAAGATTGATGGTTCATAACAATGAATATGATGATGATTTGCAAGTAGAGTATAATCACATACCCAGTGGGCACAGTATCCAAGAGGAATGTTAATTCAATGGTGAATCAATGATAATAACGTTACTTTTATGTTGATTCAATGTTGAATTAATGTTACACTTGGATACTGTGCCCACTGGATATATAGTTACATTTTTTACTAATTTAACATACTGTATGTACAAAGTTGATTCATTTTCATGTATGTGTGTCCACACAGGAGTGATAATGACAATATTGCATCTTTATGTGGTGGTGTTGCCAATTGCAACTTGCAAGGGCCTCCTCTCCCTCCATCCATCAAGCAGTCATCACTTAGAGTTGGAGAAGACTGTATGCTCTATAGGTATGTTTAATACAATATGCTGTACGGATATTAGTTGTTCTTTACACTTTAAGCTCTTTTGAGTATTCCATCAAACCCAACACACACAACATGAAGTGAACATGATGACGATTCATTCCATCCTGGGGCCAGATACACGAAACAGTTACGCGAGTACTTACGAACATGTACATCTTTCCTCAATGTTTGACGGCTTTGGTTACATTTATTAAACAGTTTACAAGCATGAAAACTTGCCAATCAACTGATGTTATTGTTATAAACAGCCTCCTGGTGCTTCGGAGCTCATTAACTGTTTAATAATTGGAAACAAAGCCGCCAAAGATTGAGAAAAGATATACACGTTCGTAAGTGCTTGCGTAACTGCTTCGTGAATCTGACCCCTGGGCCCATGTCAAGTTGGCGGTCTTGAATTCCCAAAAACAGCATCCCTTTCTGTTTCATTTCTTTTGTGTGCAAGTTGGGGAATTTGTTTCAGCCGTGTTATTGTAACTTATTCTGTGTATTTTATCTATCCACGATAAGTAAGATTTATTTTCAACAATATAGCTCAGTAAAGTATGAATTGGTGACTGATGTATGGAAAGTATGCACACAATCACATTAAAATTGCCTGGAATGTATGATAATCAATTTGACCTATAAACCGTTCCTTTGGTTAAAACGTATTCAGTAAAGGCTTATAATGTCTTATAATGTATCAACAAAGTTTCAGGTTACTGAAAATAACTAATAACCTAAAAATCTGCAACATAAAGTAATAATTATCTGCAATTTGTCACAATTTTAAAGTGAGCTGTAAGGAGCACTTAAGGTACAAAAATAATAATTTTTTCCATTTTTTTTGTGACAGATGCATGGAATGTGGGGAAGTGTTGGAAGAATTTTCCAATGACGATCTGGGCTTATGCATCATAATCCTCTCTACATTTGTGTACCGACAACCTGGTCTTGCTGCACCTCTGCTCCCGAGAATGTTAAAAACAGTGGCCAGGTAAGAAAGTACTTTATTGGAGGAGATCTGAAATGTGTGAGTTTATGGTTATCTTGATATGATTTCGGGGCTTAGCGTCCCCGCGGCCCAGTCCTCAATCATGCCTCCTTTTTGTTACACATCTCCAGGAACCAACCTATAGCAGCTGTCTAACTCCCAGGTACCTATTTACTGCTAGGTGAACAGGAGCATCAAAGTAACAGAAACTGCCCATTTGTTTCCACCTCCGCCGGGGATCAAACCCGAAACCTTAGGACTACGAATCCCGAGTGCTGTCCACTCAGCCGTCAGGCCCCATGAGTGAAGGCCACCCCATATAACCTACCAAGCTCTTGTCACACTAGCCCTCCTTTAAGCAAAAAACTTTTCTAATGGGGCTCAATTCTCTCAAAGTACCTTACACGTAGTAATTATAAATGTAAGAAACCCCCCAGTATTGCTCTGCTAACTATTAGATAATAATCAAAGGTTGCCTTAACACCACAACCCAGGTGATGGCATGTGTCACCACAACAGGGACAGGAAGTGCCAGAAACCCCCTCACTATACTGCACATAGTGTCCCCGGACTGAGTGTCCATCATCACTCTCCTAGATTTTGAGATGGCCAGTCGGATAGATCTTTCATTCAGACTTGTCTGGGCACAGGGAGGCTTCCATACTGTATGGTTCTCTTCACTGTTTGGTTTGCCAATACTGGAGGTGAATAGGTACCTGGGAGTTAGACAGCTGCTATAGGCTGCTTCCTGGAGATGTGTAACAAAAAGGAGGCATGATCGAGGACTGGGCCGCGGGGACGCTAAGCCCCGAAATCATATCAAGATAACCATAATGCCATCTACTGTGATTAGGTGGTTGGGTTGTTTTCCGTGGCGATGTGCATCAAGGGCTTTTAGACCTAGAGGTATCATTCCTCATGTATAGAGGTACAATTACTGTTGCCTTCAGCATGGTTTAATTCCTCCTGGTCCTGGGTTACTTTGAGATTTGGTCCCTGGGATGGACTTTGGTGTTGGGCTTTCCTAAGTAGTACCAGATACTATTGTTTCTCTTCATACAATAACAGAGGATTTGCATTTTATAATAAATTTATTGAACATAATGCATGGTTCTCTATGGCTTAAGCATTTGGATATACTGTATAGTGTTTATTCTCTGACCATTACATACCATGTAGTAGACTCTGCAGTTAATGAGACATGAACAAATCCACAAGGGCCGTGACGAGGATTCAAACCTGCGTCCGGGAGCATCCCAGAGACTGCCTTAATCAACTGAGCTACGACAGGGTTAAAAGGGTTGAAACCGAAGTTTTACTGAACTTACTGAATCCCGTAGCCTCTCCGAGGCACAAACCAGGATTTTACACCCCTCCCCCCCCCCCCCCCACACACACACACACACACACCGGAGCTATGTCAATAGGCCATTCTCCCTCTTCGCCCTTACATCATTACACACACATTTGTTCATTTGATGCATCACGTTAGTGTGATCTCTGTGTTTAATAAGACATCAGTGCACATTCACTGCACAATTTTCTTTCCTCATGAGTCATGTTCATTTGTGTTTTAATGAATTTCAGTTCTGATGTATATGTAACTATTTTAACAGGGTGTCTGGAAGTGAGATATTCTCCTGGCAATACGAGAGCTCTGTCCACCTCCCTGGCTCATCAACGAGTATTGGCCGTCAGTTTCTTCGCTGTGTTCTACATCAGCTTGCTCCAAATCAAATTTTTAACCAAATATTTTTCACCAATATCGAAGGTAAACTATTTGATTTCAGCATATGAACACACACATTATTATTAGAATTTTGCCTAATGTGTGTGTTGCCACATTCCTAAAAGGAACGTGTGTGTAATATTTACAATAATATACTGTACATCAGTGACCCCTAAACAGTAGATCACAAACCTCATGGGGGAAGGGGGGAGGGGGTGTTTTAAGTATTAAAAAATTAGGGTCATTCCCCCCAAAAGTTGAGAACCACTGATATTCATGGTTCTACTGATAAAATTTAATTACAGTAGCTCTTTAAATATGATACAATGGGTTGGTCCTTTTGTGATATTTCTAATTGGACTCCTTTACCTTTATCCCTAATAAGACCATTTGTAAAATCCATATCAAGCCTGGGAGAAAGTCATAAACGCCTTGCATTGTGACAATGTCCTGGCAGACGAAATGCCCCCCCCCCCCCCATCCTGACTCAAGGTAGCATCCGAAGGGACGGCTCAGAAAGTAGCATTTTTCTTTCCTCAGTATCCTGTTGTGGGTGTGGGCATCATGCCACAGCTGTATATTCCAGTTTAAATCTGATGTGTGTTGTAAATAAATGTTTAAGCATTTCTCCTTCCACGTATTGTACAAATATTTTTTTTGTTATTTACTATACCAACATTATACATGGTTTTATTATTTTAAAATTTGTAGTTTTATGTTGATAAACTAATGTTGATAAATACTTCCCTAAGGCCATTCCATATTTAATTATTTCTACTGATCTCTATTTCCATAACGTTGCATTTCTCTACATACAGTTACATTATCTATACATGACTGTATGTATTAATGCTCGTATATTTCCTAATTGCTGTACTGTACTTTATTAATACATATTACCCTTCAGAATATCAGCGTGTTCAACTTTTCAAAACTCTAGCACAAGCTCTGATGGATTTCAATGAGCTGAATCCTTCGGCTCCCATTCAATTGCTTCTTGAGGTATGTACTAAGTTGTGTAAAATATGTTTTAGAATTGCAACACTGCTTGGGATTCTGTGGAGTTATACAGTAATCTATGGTTTCCCAAATACCATCTTAAAAATTATATGACCTTTTTTTTTTTTTTTTTTTTTTTGAGATATATACAAGAGTTGTTACATTCTTGTACAGCCACTAGTACGCGTTGCGTTTCGGGCAAGTCCTTAATCCTATGGTCCCTGGAATACGTTCCCCTGCCACGAAGAATCGTTTTTTCATCCAAGTACACATTTTACTGTTGCGTTAAACAGAGGCTACAGTTAAGGAATTGCGCCCAGTAAATCCTCCCCGGCCAGGATACAAACCCATGACATAGCGCTCGCGGAACGCCAGGCGAGTGTCTTACCACTACACCACGGAGACTGCATAAATGGCACCTCATGGCACATACTGTATGTTGTTTCCAAAGGTGTGGCATTGTGTGACAGGGCACTGATGAGCGAGCCTCGGCATCATGTACAGTGAATGGAAAGATTTGATTATGCTGAAGTGTGTGCCTATGCTAATGTCAAGAACGAAAATAAGCTTGGTAAAGAGGAGAAAGTTTTTCTCTTCAATATGTAGAAAAGTTTAATGGAGAGAAAGTATGTACACTAGGAGACATGAATGCAAGCGTAAGAACAGTTACAAAGTAACATATGTAAGAGAACAGGGAGTGCCAGGAAGGTACACACAGATTTCTTTAATTTTGTAGAATTGTTTTTGTTTGGTAAATATCTCTGAACATAAGTATAATTTTTATATATGAGTATACATGGAGAATAAGAGTGGAAGTGTGCATATATCATGCTGACTGAATTGAGGATTAAAAAAAAAAAAAAGAGGTTGCAAGCTTTCTAAAAAAATTATTCCTTAAACCTCGGCGCTTGGTGGCGCCGAGGTTTAAGGAATAATGATTTAGAAAGTTATCAGGCGCCCCCCCCCCCCCATCTGTCCATTAGGCAGCTGACAGCTGGGTGGACAGTGCTTCGGATTCGTAGTCCTGATGTTCCGGGTTCGATCCCCGGTAAAGGCGGAGACAAATGGGCAAAATGTTTCTTTCACCCTGATGCCCCTGTTTCCTAGCAGTAAATAGGTACCTGGGAGTTAGACAGCTGCTACGGGCTGCTTCCTGGGGGTGTGTAACAAAAAGGAGGCCTGGTCGAGGACTGGGCCGCGGGGACGCTAAGCCCTGAAATCATCTCAAGATAACCTCAATATAACCTAATATTTTGATAATGTTAATTATAATATAACTAGTCAAATGACAGTTTGAGCTTCATATTATTGTATTCTTTCTGGGTGGGTGCCTTCAGTACCTCCCTGAGTAATAGTACTGAAGCCACCAAGCCTTAGGGAATCCCACCAGGTCTCTAAAACCCTCTCGAACTTGCCAGGAGGACCGGGCTCTAGCGCTTTCTTCAAGGCAAGGGGTACTTGGGGATCAGAAATCAACCCCAAACCAATAAAAAATAACTCCAGAAATTATAGGTGCATCAAAACAGGCAGCTAGAAAATTTGCATTCCTGGTAAAAATAAGGCAAACAGTCAATACTGCAGGTTAAAACATTTCTTGCCCCATAGAGTAAACAAGATTCTGGTTCTGGCTCCCATTAGGAAACGGATGGGGTTTGAGGCCTAGTATGTAGAATTAAAACTTGGTGGTACCAAAGTTAATTTTGGCAAGTCACTGGGAGCCCCACCAGAAAAGGGTATTTTATTATACTCGATGCCTGACTTGTGCTGACAAATTGTAATATACACACTTGCATTTTCTCTGCTAAAACTAACTTTCAATTACAGTGTACCAAAGGGTATGAATATATGTGGTGACAAATGCAATTACTGTATATCATAGTTTTATGAGTGCCATATGGTGTGACTTGGGTACAGAAGCAGGGAGAAGACCTATTGTTCATTGACATCTGAAGGATTAACCCATTCATTGTGGTATCAACAAGATCAAACTATGATATGTACAATTTTCAGATTACTAATTCACAAGAATTATCTGTAATCTAATAGTTATTATATTGAACAAAACTTGCAGAATCAGAACAGCAAGAAGGTTCTGCCAACTGAGAACCTTGCACATTTGCTTGGAAATGTTGCATCATATATGGAGTGTGTTGGACAAGACGGTGGTGGCGGCCTTTCTTCCAGTTTGGTTCCTCTCTTTGACACGTTCCTTCGTAAAGTTCTCCTTTGTATCAATGTTATGACAGACTTGAACCCAGTGTTGAGGATTCTAGTAGCAATTCTCAAGATTCCAGGGGTGTCATCCCATAAGGTAAGACAACTTCAAAAAATCTGTTACATAATTGTTATCTTTCTGGAGATCTGTTGCTATTTGCATTATTTTCCATAATTTTCCTTAATGTCAATTTTGTAGTCATTCATTAATTGATATTATATAAAATATGGTTTTACAGTTTGATGTGAATTTGTTAAGTAGCAGATCATTGAGTGCAATCATACCAGCAACTTTATTATTCTTTTGCTTCATCACTCATTTGAACACTTAAGTATTTCTTGAATTATCAGCTTCTTACCAGACCCACATTCTTAAAAACATGTTTTTATCTATGGCCTATATTTCAGTCAAGTAAATGATTGTTTAATCCTATACAGGCTGGCACTTTCTAAGTTAATTTCAATTAATCTATTGTAAATATTTAGACTTTTGTATGGGAGAGAGAGAGAGGGGGTGAGAGAGTGAGAGAGTGTGTGTGTGAGAGAGAGTGAGTGTGAGAGAGAGAGTGTGAGTGAGTGAGTGAGTGTGGGTGGGTGGGTGGGTGGTGTTGTAGTTGAACACAATTTCTTATTAATTTCCAGAGTGTTCTTGACCCAGTGTCAAAGCTAGTGAGCTATTCCATTCAGAACTCGGTCATGAAGTACGAGCACCTGAGTGACATGTGTCATCTGTGCAACCGCATCTTTTCAAGGGTAAGGGAGCGCCTCTCATTTACATTTTTCATAAGTCAAAAATATTTTCTTTGCCTTTTAAATTGTACAGAGAGTTTTCCTTAAGCTTACCAGCTATTTAGATGACTCTAAACAATCCTTTATATCTCATGCTGCATTACTATTACAGTATTAGTAATGCATTATTCTTTCATTATATTTCAGTATATGAGAGAGAGATTCATTGTAGTATTCATTCGTTTGTTCAATATAATTCCCCTGGTTCCCACTCTCATATTAATGGAAATACTGTAATCTGTTTGTAGACAAAATCATATAATATTGTGAAAGAAGGTTATGCTATAGATATTAACAAATACAAATTTTAAAATGTTACTTCTAGTGGGTAGACAAATTTTGAAGATGCATTCCCAAGCCAATTTCCCCACTCCTGCAGTGCAGGGAATACCAGCCAATTAGCACCGCAGCTCTGTACTGCAGTCCTGTCATAAATTGTATTTAAGCTACTTTTTTAATACATTTTTAGCATCACATTAGTAAGAAGCATATGACTTAGTGTAGTATAACTGTGAATTAGCCTGAGAGGAGGAGGGAGGCACTGTACAAGTTTATTTTCTTGACAGTGGTCTTGTTAGAGTCTAGCTGCGTGTTCATTTCACCCTGCATTGTACTGTAAACTTCTGTATTGCTGAGGGTTTATGTAGGGTCATCTCATTAACTACAAAATTTGATTTTAGTACAGTATATCATTGCCTTCCCCCCCCTCCCCACCTTCTTGAGGTTATCTTGAGATGATTTCGGGGCTTTTTAGTTTCCCCGCGGCCCGGTCCTCGACCAGGCCTCCACCCCCAGGAAGCAGCCCGTGACAGCTGACTAACACCCAGGTACCTATTTTACTGCTAGGTAATAGGGGCATAGGGTGAAAGAAACTCTGCCCATTGTTTCTCGCCGGCGCCCGGGATCGACCCCGGGACCACAGGATCACAAGTCCAGCGTGCTGTCCGCTCGGCCGACCGGCTCCCACTTGCCATTTTTATGGGCACGTTTCCTTTCGCCAGATGCTTCTGTCCACCTAGCAGTAAATAGGTACCTGGGAGCTAGGCAATTGTTGTGGGTTGCATCCTGGGGAAGGTCAGTAGTTGGCCTACAGGAGAAGCAACACCGATAAACCTAAGTTCAAGCTTCCTGTCCTTGACAGTGTGAATTTAGTTTCTGATCGTGTAAACATTTGTTGCAGTGGTAACCGTCATTTGTGTGTTACAGGAGAGAGACAAGTTGTTGCTGCCAAGGTTGGTTGTGTACGAGTTGGTTCAAGCACTCAAGTTTAAGACGTCAATCCCAGACACCAACTTGGTTCTTCTTGTGCAGCTTGTTGTACAGGTGCGTCACTCCTTATTTGTATTCATTAATGCTGCTTAAAGAATATATTTAAACCTAACAAAATGTAAAAAGAGACTTCCTTTCATCAATGTATTACAAATAATGTTTTGTTGTGAGTTTATGTAACCCATATGAAATAATTTTATTTATGATTGTATGCTCTTAGTTTTAGCATGTTTTATATATCTTTTCAGTTTTCTCTATCTGTTAACATGCTGTTTGCATATATTAGTATGCAATTTCCTTGTTGAGGTGGTTTTCTAGATTTCCATTTTTTGTTTACATAGAAATTACTATATCTCAGATCACACTTGTAAACCATCTTGCTCAAGACTTTATTTAACATGATTGGAGATAGAGGGTCTACAAAGTATGATCTGAGATATATCCATTTCTATTTGTAAACAAAAATGGAGAACTACCCCAGCAAGTGAAAGTGATGCTTGCAACAGTTATTTATTCATGTTGTTGTCACACCTGCCGTCCACATAATGCTCCGTGCTACATTATTGTTCATCGTTCCGTAATTTTTGTGACTCCAGTGAATAAACAGTTCTTAACACACTTATTGGAAGAGCTTCGAGATATTTATGTATTTGAAATTTAGTGCTTGACCTGTGTTTATCTTGTCTATTCAGGACAGTGGAGGAACTCTGGGCAGCAATTCTGTTGTTGGAGACCTACCTAAGGACATTCAAGATATCCATAATCTTCCTAATACTTGTGCTGCTGAGTGTATGAGGTCACATTTGCACGATGCTCTCGAGTTCATTGCTGATGTACACACACTAACCAAAGTGAAGGTAATGGCATTGTCATTCATCTTTTATAATAGCATTCATATTAATTATGACCTCAATTGTGCAATTTAAATAAGTGTACAGTTTTGTTAAATTTATATATATATTAGGGTAATACAGTATTTACATACTCAAAATAATTACTGGTGTGGTAGTACAGTGGTCTGTATCCTCGACCCAAAACTGAAAGATTAGGGTTCAGTCCCTGGCCACGATAAATAGTTGGTCATGTTTACTTTTACTTGATGCCTCTGTTCACCCAGCAGCAATTGTTGTGGGTTGCTGCTGGGTGAATTGAGAATCATTGCGGTGTGAAGTAAGTGCTCTTACTTCACAAAGAATATATTGATTTTTTCTTGACTCTAAACATCATTCATGTCCTTTCAGTCAAATTGCCGTAGCAGCGTTGGCTTGAACGAGGACACAATGGGTGGGCTAGTAAAGGCTGGCATCTCTCAATATTTGGCATTAGAAATCACCCGTGGTAACAGCAGAGACAATAGAGCTATCACCAAGTACCTGCCATGGCTCAACAATCCTCCAACTACTGTTCAACAAGGGTAAAACTAAGCCGTTCCAATTAATATTTATTTTATTCAAACAGGAAGTCAGTTAATTAATTTTTCTGTGATATAATTCGTGCAGAGTTGTTTAAGAAGGAATAGAGATACTTTGAATTCACATTTTCTCATAACTAGTAATTTGTTTAGAAACTATACTCCTTATAGACAGATTTCCCTTCACTGACTTTAGTGCTTATATAGATTTTCTCTGCACAATTGGTATTGTGCTTTGTATTTTTCAGACCCCGAGAATTTATTGACTGTGTGTCGCACATTCGTTTACTGTCGTGGCTACTGCTTGGGGCTTTGACTCACACCTGCCTTGTGGGAAGCTCTGCCTCAATAGTGTGCCAGCCCATACCTCCAGAAGCCTCCTGTCATATTGCTGACCACATTCAGGTTAGAGTTTTGAAGAATTTTAGATATCATGATTATCATAAACAGAGGTGGGTGGGTGGTATAAGTTTGGACAATTTTTCTTAAAATATTTTGGTAAAATCAGGTATTGTAAGCATATTTGTTTGAATTGTGCCACAGTATAGCTACAGTTCTTAGCTAATTTGTTTAATACTTTTTAAGCTACATATTAGTAAACCTATGAGGTACCAGGGAGCCGGTCGGACGAGCAGACAGCACGCTGGACTTGTGATCCTGTGGTCCCGGGTTCGATCCCGGGTGCCGGCGAGAAACAATGGGCAGAGTTTCTTTCACCCTATACCCCTGTTACCTAGCAGTAAAATAGGTACCTGGGTGTTAGTCAGCTGTCACGGGCTGCTTTCTGGGGGTGGAGGCCTTGTCGAGGACTGGGCCGCAGGGACACTAAAGCCCCGAAATCATCTCAAGATAACCTCAAGATAACCATCCAAAGAGTTCAACTTGAGTTATTTTACAAATATAATATATACAGCAACCGAGTTGCAGAGAATGTGTAATACCAGCATATCTGTGCATATTTAAAATTATTAAATGCTAATATTTCTTATTCGACTCTTTACAGGTGATCTTGGCAGGTTTTGCTGAACAATCAAAAACGTCTGTGCTTCATATGTCATCTCTGTTCCATGCTTTTATTTTGTGTCAGGTACTGTATAGTGAATTATATATTCTTGTAGCACCCTGTTTAATATAGAGAGATTAATATGATTATTGTTAGATTGTGGGGCAATAAAGTTAGTATATTATTTATGAATTTCTTGAAAAAAATGACATACTAGTAATATACATAGCATACAGCAGAATAATATTTCAGCGTACTCCGAATGAATGGAAGTAGAAAGAAGTGTTTTTGAGTGAATTTTAGAGAAGGAGATGAAGGCAATGAGGTTAGACAGACATTAAAGCATGAATGGCACATGGAAGGGAGGTCATTTGGCCGGAATGGCACATGGATCATTTGGCCGGAACCTCCAGCTTGAGGATGAGATTGAACCTCAAATTGAGACAGTTGTCAGGCCTCTTCCAAATAGTCACTTAAGTCAGTCCTTCTATTCGAATAGACCAATGATTTAATTTTCAATGACAAATTACAGGTTACTATTTGTTGACATTACTCCACCCTACGACCTGTCATTCCTTGAACTTTTGATCTCTCGTCAGGCCCTTCCCTTGCTATATAGCTGTCTTTGTTTCTGCTTGTATTTCTGTCATTGTCTTCTGTCTTTTATTTCTGCCATTGTCAGTCTTGTGTGTCTCACTCTCATTGTTGTGTTCCTCTGTGAATGTCTGTGACTTCTCATAACTTTCTGCCACCAGCACCTCTCTGAATTTGTGTTTATCTTTCTGTGGCTTTGTCACAATTAGTTCCTGTGTGTGTGTGTATGTGTTTATATACTGGTATTTGTTTGCTCGTTTGTGTTTGAATCTCTCTCTCTCTACCTGCCTGTTTGTGTGCACATCTGTCTCTGTCTATCCGTTTTTCTCTTGTGTTAATCTGTTTCTTCATTTAAATTTTGAATTAGATAATTCATTAGATAATTCACTCCTTATTTATTTTGTAACAAAAAGAGTGGGCACTTAAGACTTAAGATAGATACTATCAGTGACTGGACTTGCATTGTTCCCCTCCCATATGTCAAATGTTCTTTATTTCATTAATGTTACTTGAACATTTTGTCAATGAAGTGACTAATGAGAGAATGGAAGGTAGGATGGGGGGCTGTAGGTTATAATGAGAGCTGTAGGTTAGAATGGGAGCAGATTAGAATGGGAGAGGTAGATTAAATACGGAGAAGCAGACAAGAGAAAGAGGTTGGTTAGAGAGAAAGAAGGAAAGTGAGGAAGAAGTCAGAGAATAAAAAAAGGGAGGATCGTGAATAGGTAGGTTATAGTGAGGGGAAAAATAGGAAAGAGAAATGTACAGATAAAAAGCCGGTTATTTATGGTAAATATGCATGCCAATGATTCCTGTAAATATTTTCCAGATATTAATTATTTTTACCATTTTACTAGCTATGGACAGTGTACCTGGAGCAAGGTGCTGGCAGCCCTGGAGGAGACAGTTATAACAGCATCTCTGCCATCCTTACTGATTTTTGGGCCAAGGTCACGCCAGGCATTCTTCAGCTGGTTTCACACTCTAAAGTGGTCAGTATAACACGTATCACTCGACGCATTCATAGATTCTAGGGGAATTGTTATGTACTGTATACAGTTAGGAAAGCCTGTCTCTGGTATGGTCTGGTATGGATACATTATATGGTCTTGTGTTTATTTTTCAGTTTTTTATTTTTCCCTCCAAGGTTTCCATTCAGTATCTTGAGAGCACTTCATTGTATTGACTTAAAATTTTGTGCAATTTAACTCCTCAGAATTTGGATATATATTCAACAGTTAAATTTTGTTTAACAAATCATGTGATCTGTATTATGATTTTTACACAGGCTTAAAGAAGCAATTGCTGACAGTTTTATTTTCTGTGGGTTGCCCAGTGCCTACACCATTGAGTGTGACCCAGCCACTTTTTACCACATTACTCAAGGAATTTCATCCACTTTTCTTTTGAAAGAAATAATTAAATTCTGGGTAGGTGCCTCGGTAATCTCCAGCCTGAGGCCAGATTCATGAAGCATACAGTATACGCAAGTATTTACGAAGGTGTGCATCTTTCCTCAATCTTTGACGGCTTTGGTTACATTTATTAAACAGTTTACAAGCATGAAACTTGCCAATCAACTGTTGTTATTGTTATAAACAGCCTCCTGGTGCTTCTGAGCTCATTAACTGTTTAATAATTGTAAACAAAGCCGCCAAAGATTGAGAAAAGATGGACAGGTTCGTAAGTACTTGCCTAACTGCTTTGTAAATCTTGCCCCTGATGTTTAAACATCCTTCAGCTACTGTCACATTATGCCTTGGATGAATTCTTTTGCTCAATAGGGACCTTTGTCTTCTCTTGTCAAAGAAAATGCAGGGGTTTATAGAAATCAATGAGCAATAACACAGAGCAAATGCTTGCTATAACCCACAGAAGCAATAAAACTCATACTCCCTCTGAAAACCATTTGAAAACACTGCTCCTGCTACAATGTAAACCTCGTCACCTGACTGCCCTGGCTGCTACCAGGCACCACTCCACTAGCTAGTGTGTCAGGGAAGCAGGCAGCCTCACTTCAAGCCTGACATCCTTATTATAACCTTGATTGTGACTGTCCTTTGGGTTAAATTGCCAATGCATTAGGGCTCCAAGCTTATATTGGTTTTGTGGTGTGTGTTAAGCCAAGATCATGAGTGTGTGTCAACTTTGACTCTGCATCGATATTCTTTCAGAGTTCTCTTCCCTGGCATCAAGTAATTAAGTATAGTAATTACGTATCAGTAATTACTGTATGTATATATACAGTACAGTATATTATTTTTATAAAAGATTACTAGTTTAGGTTCAGTACAGATTAGCAAAATCAATGTCAAATAGTACAAGTTCCTTTTATTATATACCGTTTCATTAATTAAATTCGGTAGACCTAAATAACCTTATAGTTATATTTAGAAGAGTATTAGGAGTGGAATTTGCAGGCAATTTGTTGCATATATTATAGTTATTGTATATCCCACCCTTATCTATGTTGGGCTGCCATTTGACCAGGAAACTGAGACAGCCCAGGTATTTTTCTTGACCTATAGTAACATTTATTAAAACCTGGCCACTTAATTAGGACATAGAGTAGCTCACTAATGGAGTGTGGACAGCTTGCAGTGACTGATTGTTTATTATAGGCAATATGGTTTAGCACAAAAAATTGCCAACAAAATATTTGCATTCATAGAGGGTTAATATGATAAGAGATTTCAATGTTTCATAATGTACTGTAATGGTTACATAATACAGCAGGCCCCCCCCCCCCATGCTATTTGCAGGATATGCGTTGCATGAGATGCCTGTGAATGATAAAATCACAAATATTAAAACTGGTGAGAAAAGGGAGAATGTTTCCAACACAAAAATTTAACCAGTATATAAAGAACAGATTTTGAAAAAAATAGTAGAAAGTGGTGAATATGTGTGGGTAGGTGCGTGGAAGTGTATGAGCGCATTTTTTTTTTTTTTTTTTTAAGGTGTTGGTGGGTGGGTGTAATTACATAAGTGCAGTTACTGGATAAGAGCTTCACTTGTGTCTCATTTCCCCAGCACTCTTTCTCATATAACACTTAGAAATTACTGACGGTTTTGGCCTCCACTACTTTCTCACTTAACTTGCTCCAGTCGTCTACTACTCTGTTTACAAAGGAGAACTTTATAATATTTTGTCAACACCTTTGGTTTCTTAGCTTGAATCTATGACACTTTGTTCTTGAGGCTTCGGATCCGTAGTCCTAAGGTTCCGGGTTAGATCCCCGCAGAGGCAAAAACAAATGGACAGAGTTTCTTTCACCCTGATGTCCCTGTTCATCTAGCAGTAAATAGGTGCCTGGGAGTTAAACAGCTGCTAGGGGCTGCTTCCTGGGGACGTGAAACAAAAAGGGGGCCTGGTTGAGGACCGGGCTGTGGGGATGCTAAGCCTCGAAATCATCTCAATATAACCTCAATATTGTCAATTTAGTCAATTCTCGTTATTATTTTTTAAGTGGTGATCATATCACCTCTTTTTCTATTTTATAGCTTTGGCATATTTAACACTTGCAGCCTTTCTTCATAACTCTTGTTTTTCAGTTCTGGAAGCCACTGTGTGTGTGTATGTGTTCACATAGGAGTGTACAGTAATTACCCAAGTGTAGTTACAAGGATGAGAGTTTTACTCGTAGTATCTTGGTGTCTTTAATCTTATTTCTATAATGTTTTGAAGTGTTAGTTGTGACATACACTCCTCTCATTAATTTTTATCTAACATTCCAATAGCAGAAGATAATTTTTCAAGTTTTGTACATTGACAACCCATAATATCAATATCTTTACTTGCCCCCTCCTTATGGGTGAGGAGCCTGAGGAGGAACTTGCCAAACTATCTAATGCCATCAAGGCTGCCACTTCTAATACCATCAGGTGGTGTCCCGAGCTATCTAAGGGTAGAAGTGAGCCATCACTCCAACATTCAAACCAGAGCAGAATCCAGTAGGAAACACAAGAGCTGGAACAGGGCCCTTGTTAAAAAACCGGGCCATTGTTTTTGCTTGACAAAAAGCAAACATTTTCCCGAGTGTGACCCCCACAAGTGTCAATTAGCCTCCATGTATTTACTACTACCTGAAGAGGCATCAGGTGTAAGGAAAGGTGACCATATGTTTTGCTCTGCCTGGGAATCTAACACAGAACCAGTTGGTTGTGACTATGCTAGCCACTGCGCTGCAGGTGGTATAATTCTTTTAAGGATATTTATGAATCATTTTGTTCAGTAATAAATAAAATGGGGATGAAAATATTTTTGATGCGAACAATGAGTGAAAATATGTAATGCTGCAAACCACAAATAACCAGATCTGTGAATACCAATCCTGCAAATAGCAAGGGTCTTCTATAAAACCAACACCTTGCAAGATGAAGAGTCACAATAACATGGCTGAGAAATGTTGACCAAACCACACTAGAAATTGAAGAGACGACAACAGTTCGGTCCGTCCTGGACAATAATCGACTTGATAATGGTCCAGGACGGAGCGAAATGTCGTCATCTCTTCACTTTCTAGTGTGTGGTCTGGTCAACAACAACTTGCAAGTTGTCTACTAATTTATGTGTTAGGGAACAACTTGGGAAAGCAAAATTTTGTTGATAATGCCTGTTGATATTCTGCATTTTAATCAAATATACAGAGGCAAGTGTAAACCACACTCCATTCCTTTAAAAATTACCTTGTCCCTAAATTATTAGTGTAGTTCAATTAGACTTTTATCTAATTACTAAATACATCCAATACTTAGGACAGTAGTGAGATTTAATGACAACATTGATCATGGAATTTATAAATAACAATTTATATTTGCTCAGTTAAAAACATATATAGTTGCTATATTGCATGATTCCACACAAGTATTCAGTGATATGCTTTTGTTGCATGCACGCACATCACCTAACGTAATCTATTGAGGCTGATGCCAAATACAGTAGTTTAAAAAAAATGTGCAGTTCTAATGCTTTTATTTGCAGTAAACAACATTGAGTTTCTCACGGGTATCCAAGTTTATGATCATATGTAGATGAATTTAGTGTGAAGATGGATTGAAATAGCTGGTTATATACACTGATTTATTTACCTACACAGTACTGCCTTGAAAACTAAGATATTAGTTCTTTAGAAATATATTTCTTACTTAAAATGTTATTACTGTAGTATGTACCATGTTTGCACAAATATGTCCCACCAGTAATCCAAAGCTGCAGGGTGAGATTTAATATTTTTCATGCAAAAAAGTTTGAACTGAGTTCCTGAGTCTCACCATAAAGTTGAGCCTCCACTTTAAAAACTCGCATGAAAGTTATTCTTGACACAAGCTTATGTATGACTACAGACGATGAGTCACAATAATGTGGCTGAAGATATGACCAAACCACACATCAGAAGATGGAGAAATGACGACGTTTCGGTCCGTCCTGGACCATTATCAAGTCATGTAAAAGAAGTAATCAGGATAACGCCAGCTCGTGGTGAAATAAATGATCATAATAATGACTATTTGGCTAATAATGGCTAGTGAGGTATTATGGGAGGGAGAGTCTATGTAAAAAATTACAGTATCACAAACTTTTCATTTTGCTGAAAGCTGCATTACCCGTTTTGCTATTTTTGAGGTTTAGAAAAAGGTATGGCTTATATTCGTGCAAATAAGTATACTGTATCAGCGTTGATGAATTTTAAGGCATTTTCTTGAAGTACATGGTCCAGGGAAAAGCGAGCACAGATTAAGAACAGTTGCTGTTGCATGCTAATCCTTACCTGAAATATTCCATGTAGAAAACTGCTGAACAACCCTGGAGTATTATTTTAAAATGTACACAGTAGTGTATGCTTATTTCCCCCTCTAATGTACCACTGAAGAACCCCTGTCCTGTAGTTTCTTAAAGCATGATAAAGTAGACACTTGGTTAGCTTTACTAATATAATCTCCAGGATTAATTTTTACTTAGCATTTCTTTCAATTTTGATTTTATTGAAGTCGTGGACTTCATGGTATGATTTTAGTCTTCATATAAAAATAATAACTTTGCCTCCTAAAAAAAATTATTTTCTGTCTTAAAGAAATATCATATGAGCAAAATATCATGTACAAATAATTTTTTGAATTGTATTCTGTACACTTACACCTACATTTCTTCAAAAATCTTTGTTTACCATTATGTTTACAAGCTTACATTTATTAAGCTTGTAATAAGTTACACTTCAATTTCCATCTTGTTTACATACAGCTGAGTGAGATGGTCAACCTACACTTCCTGAGTCTAATGGAGGCCCTTCACGAGTGTCGCTCTACTGTCCTTACCAAATTATTGCCTCTCTGGGCTCCAGTTTTGTACACTCATCACACTAAGGTTTGTCTTCAAGTCAGTGATATATAAATTATGGTCATGTCATCATTATACAGTACTTATACTATACTCATAACAGCTCTTCTTTGCTTGCATGTAAACATTTGTGCCGTGTAATTCAGTGGAACCCCCACCCCCCATTATCTGCATCTCTGTTTTTCTGGTTTCTCGGATTATCCAGTTGTCCACTCACATTAATCAGACATACTCCCGTTAATGGGGCTTAACCACATTATATGAAATTTCGGCTCAGTTTCATGGTAAACTGAGCTGAATATCCCATTACATATTTTTGGTATTCATAATACCAAAAAACATAAAAATGTAATTGATTTCCTACATATACAGTACATTAGTGCATTCCTATTAAAACAGCATTACAGGTATTGTTAGCACGTGTCTGTTATATAACTGTACCATAATATATAAAGTCTAAATTTTGTATTTTTTATAAGCAAGGATTTTCACTTATGCAAAGATCTGGAGGTACTGGGATCTCTGGTACTGGAGGATCTCACAAGTCATGCCTGGCCTTGGGCTGAGCTTGAGGAGTAGTAGAACTCACAGAACCCCATCAAGCAGGTATCAATTGGTCTAGATAATTAGAGTAGCACTGTATTGTTTCTTGACTTCTCATTAGTTAAAGTTGGGTCATTTTCTGCTCTTTGGAGCTGGCTTAGTTTACAAATATTTTATCGCTGATGAAGTTAGATTTGTCTCCCACCTGAGTGACAACAGGAGCCCCAGTCACACACAGATATTATCAGTTACAAAATTATGGACACTGTCAAAGTCTGTCACTAAAAGAGAAAAATGAATAGAATATGGGCCTTGTGTAGCCTTCCTTCACATGAAAAGTTAAATAACCCTGGCCCTCTGTGCTGCTTCCACTGTCATGGAAATTATGCAACTCTTGAGGTATGTGAGTTCTACCCTGTAACATGGAGTCTTATGGGGTGGTTTAATCCCACTACAGTATCTTGCCTCACATACATCAGTTCCTTTGTTATGTGCACATACAGTACTTTATAATATAATGTATTTAATGCAACTTTATATAAATTATATTCTATAAGATTTAGAAATGTGATTTTTCCAGTTACCAGGACAGCTAGCCGTGAGACTGCAAGCATGTCAAAATGCAGCACCTCCAACCGACCTGGAGACTCCACGGCCCAGCACCACCACCACCTTGCCAAATCTCTTACGCTGGCTCCATCGACTCCAGTTCAAGATGGGCCAAATAGAACTTCAGTCATCTGCTGCTACACAGTTCTACTCAGTGTAGAATTATTTACTGTAACAGGAGAAAAATATGAATTGACAACTACAGTATCATTCGACTATAGAAAAATATGAATTGTTAATTTTATTAGATCTATATTGTAATATACATATATATAAATGTAGTCATATATATATTATTTATAAAAGAGAATAGTGAATATATTTATATAAATATTTGAATGATAATGTAGAGGCAACTCAAAATTCAGGTTAGTTATATGTAGCAAAATTCTGTATATTGAACCCCTATTTTACTACTAACTTTCATTAAATATATTATAAATGTAAACAATCGAATGTTTAATCTATGATGATCACATTGCTGCAGTACGCAACAGTAAAAACTGTTCAACTACAATTTTGTTGATGTTGATAAGCACTGTCAATCTTCCCATATACTGTATATGAATGGGCATCAAAGATTCTCATTGATATGTGAATAGCTCATACAGTATATCATGTATTTAATAAATATTTGCTCAGTTTTTATTTAGTCAAATTTTAATTGTATACTACCAAGTTTTTATATTATTTTATTTTATATTTTATATTAGTTTTTATTTTCAGTATTTTATTTATTCAGATATTATTTATTTTGTGTATTTAAATAAAAAAACAGCGTTGAAACGCCATTTTCTGGGTGAGTCCCGGAGGCTCCCCCAGAAACTTTCATTTGAGATCAGCTTCTCATATTCTTATCAATATGTAAATGTATATATTGAATAAATGTCTACTATATTACAGTATTTGCTTTATTTTACTAATTTATATAATAAAGATGGATTATCCAAAGAAAGCACCAAGCCAGGAAGATGCTTTAAGAGCATATGAATAAACAAACCTGCAGAAGGTCTATTGACCCATGCAAGACACCTCCCATTTATATTCAACCAAACTCACTTGAATGTCTAACCTGTGCTTGAAGCGATCCAGCAATCCCACATCTACTATAGTACCAGGTACAGTAATTTGGTTCATAAATCAATAACCCTGTTGCCAAATTGATATTTACCTAGTTTATGGACAGAAAGCCTGTACTTTAGCTTATAGACATTCCCTAGACAAACTACTGAGCAGACTTGCAGTGAATCTGCAGGTGGCCAAACATGTCTGGGCAGTCCTACTGCCCAGACATGCCCAGTAGCTTTCGGTAATTAGATGGACAGGGCCTACTGATTTTGCGCTCAAAGCAGAAGTCGGTGAGGATGATAACACCAGGGTGATATACAGAGCTGCATAATTGACAAGATTAAGCTTAGGGAGGGTTAATGATCTTGCCAACCTATAAGCTTCACCTGGAAATTATAATTTTCTTCCTATCAAGGCAGCAAAACACAGGATGTACTCCTGGACAACCTCGAGACTTCCTTCATGAGGTTCACCATCAGTAACCATTCCTTCACACTCTTGGCCAAGAAGTCAACCAAACCTTATGAGTAATTTTTTAATCAACTGAACCTTTGATTTCAATGAAAATAAACTGGCTATTTAGCTGCATAAATCGCAGATGTGCAACGATCTGGACAACTGAATTTACCCCAAGGGCCACCATGGGTACAGGATGTCGGTGTTTGTCAATTTGTGCCTTATTGTTCCCGAGCATTATTTTCAACTGATTTTTTTTTTTTTAAAGAAGTGGTCTGGATAAATATTCTCTATTTTGTTCAATATAATAAATATGTATATATCTGTATATTTTTTTGCTAGGGCTCCAAGGCTGTTTGTTTGTTAGGACTTTGGGGCATTTGCGTGTTTGGGCTGTTGGGCAATTTCGTTTGTTGGGCGAGGTATTTGTTTGCTAGGCCTGCGGGTATACAACTTTACGGGCTATTCATGCCCGTGCCACCTATATATATATACATATATATATATATATGTCGTACCTAGTAGCCAGAACGCACTTCTCAGCCTACTATGCAAGGCCCGATTTGCCTAATAAGCTAAGTTTTCATGAATTAATTGTTTTTCGACTACCTAACCTACCTAACCTAACTTTTTCGGCTACCTAACCTAACCTTACTTATAAAGATAGGTTAGGTTAGGTTAGGTAGGGTTGGTTAGGTTCGGTCATATATCTATGTTAATTTTAACACCAATAAAAAAAATTGACATCATATATAATGAAATGGGTAGATTTACCATTTCATAAGAAAAAATTTAGAGAAAATATATTAATTCAGGAAAACTTGGCTTATTAGGCAAATCAGGCCTTGCATAGTAGGCTGATAAGTGCGTTCTGGCTACTAGGTACGACATATATATATATATATATATATATATATATATATATATATATATATATATATATATATATATATATATATATATATATATATATATATATCGTACCTAGTAGCCAGAACTCACTTCTCAGCCTACTATTCAAGGCCCGATTTGCCTAATAAGCCAAGTTTTCCTGAATTAATATATTTACTATAATTTTTTTCTTATGAAATGATAAAGCAACCCTTTTCTCTATGTATGAGGTCAATTTTTTTTTATTGGAGTTAAAATTAACGTAGATATATGACCGAACCTAACCAACCCTACCTAACCTAACCTAACCTATATATATAGGTAAGGTTAGGTTAGGTAGCCAAAAAAAGCTAGGTTAGGTTAGGTTAGGTAGGTTAGGTAGACGAAAAAACATTAATTCATGAAAACTTGGCTTATTAGGCAATCGGGCCTTGAATAGTAGGCTGAGAAGTGCGTTCTGGCTATTAGGTACGACATATATATATATATATATATATATATATATATATATATATATATATATATATATATATATATATATATATATATATATATATATATATATATATATATATATATATATATATATATATATATATATATATATATATATATATATATATATATATATATATATATATATATATATATATATATATATATATATATATATATATATATATATATATATATATATATATATATATATATTATATATATATATATATATATATATTATATATATATATATATATATATATATATATATATATATATATATATATATATATATATATATATATATATATATATATATATATATATATATATATATATATATATATATATATATATATATATATATATATATATATATAACTGAAAACTCACACCCCAGAATATTCATATTCATACTCACACCCCAATATTCAGTTGCATATGTCCTGGGGACCATTCAGGCTTGTTCGCATATATATATATATATATATATATATATATATATATATATATATATATATATATATATATATATATATATATATATATATATATATATATATATATATATATAATTATACCAGTATAATCTAATAATATATACTGGTCTAATAAATAATTAGACCAGTTAATACTCTCACTCGTTGTGTTAGGATATGTTAGCTTGATAAAACTGACTGTTCATTGTTGAGAAATGTGTTAACAAACAATATATCTGACTTATCAAGACTGTAGCTTGCTTAGCAAAAGGAACTTTTTTAAAATTTGGGTTCAGTTTAACTACCGCTCAAGGGATGAGTAATTGGGGCATAATAAAGGAACTAAGCTGATAAAATGAAAGATGGGAAAACAACATTAGAAAGATAAACTCGAGAGACGTTTTCATGTTAACCCGAAAATTATTTGAGGAGCAAGACGGACTGCGGGTCAAGCAATTGGTCTTTATGCTATCGTGATGGGGGATCAGCCATTACACGTGTTAATGACTCTTGTATAGTTGTGTAGTTAAGGACATCAGGGTAAAGGGGTAATGGGCATTGTGGTTGATTGTTCTACCTGGGAATCCTCCACTGTTTTATATCTTTTGTATGTATGTATGTACTAACCTAGTTGTGGTTGCAAGGGTTGAACTTTGGCTCTTTGGTCCCGCCTCTCAACCGTCAATCAACTGATGTACAGATTCCTGAGCCTACTGAGCTCTGTCATATCTACACTTGAAACTGTGTATGGAGTCAGCCTCCACCACATTACTGCCTAATGAATTTCATTTATTAACTACTCTGACACTGAAAAGTTCTTTTTATAATCTCTCTCTGGCTCATTTGGGTACTCAGCTTCCACCTGTGTCCCCTTGTGCGTGTACCACATGTGTTAAATAAATGTAAAAAAAAAAAAAATAAAAAAAATAAAATGTTTATTAGGTAAGGTACATACATACAAGAAATTTTTACAAAGATTGGTTCACTTATAGATAGAGCTAGTACATACAATGCCTAAAGCCACTATTACGCAAAGCGTTTCGGGCATGAAGATATAACTAAACTAAACACTCAACAAAGAACAGTACATCCTAACCAGACGTTATATAATGATATTCTCAACAGTAGATAAAAGAAAATTAATTGTTACCTAATACCAGAATAGTATAAAAGCTTATCATAAGCTACGGGATTTGTAGATCAGTGTTTAAAGGGAATTTGGAAGTAATAATGATACAGCTGATGCCATCTGTCGGCAGAAGAGAACACTATCAACTGGCTGGTCAACAGTGGCCATAAGATACAGCTTACGCCATCTGTTGACATCAAATTACACTTATAACAAATTACCCCACAAAATACAACTAACGCCATCTCTGATTTTTCCAACGCACTATAAATAGCCAAACAGCAACCCATAAGGCGGGTTGTTGTGCTCGGGTAGGAGGTTCCAAGCTCCGCCCACAAGTGGTATGGGGTGCATAATAAATGGCATATTATTGGTAGAAACTCTTTGTTGACATTCACACCACAGCCAATCACAGGAAGGGATCAGCTAAAGGCTCCATCCACTTATATAATAATAATAATAATAATAATAATAATAATAATAATAATAATTTTTATTTAGGTAAAGGTACATACATAAAGAGATTTTACAAAGTTTGTTGGCTTTATAAATAGAGCTAGTACATACAATGCCTAATGTATGTATGTATGTAAGGAGAGAGTTTCTACCCGAGCACAACAACCCGCCTTATGGGTTGCTGTTTGGCTATTTATAGTGCGTTGGAAAAATCAGAGATGGCGTTAGTTGTATTTTGTGGGGTAATTTGTTATAAGTGTAATTTGATGTCAACAGATGGCATAAGCTGTATCTTATGGCCACTGTTGACAAAAATGAGTTTCCGATTGGACTCTTCATTGACCTAAGAAAAGCCTTTGATACTGTTAATCACAACTACCTCTTACTTAAACTCCAGCATTATGGAATCCGAGGCCTTGCCCTTGACTACATCCGATCCTATCTTAGTGACAGACACCATATGTAACCATCAATGATACAACTTCTTCCACTCTACCAATTACCGTTGGAGTGCCACAGGGCAGCATCTTAGGACCTCTTCTATTTCTTATATATATAAACGATCTGCCTAATGTCTCTAATATTCTCAAACCTATATTGTTTGCTGACGATACTACCCTTATCTACTCAAACCTCAACCCACATACACTAAATAATGTTGTGAATAATGAATGAAAAAAAGTCCACTTATGGATGTCAACGAACAAACTAACATTAAACATCGAAAAGACTTACTACATCTTATTTGGAAGCAAATCATCAAATGCAATTCAGCTACAGATAGACAACATTAACATCAGTAATAAAATGATGGCAAGTTTCTTGGCCTATTCCTAGACAAGAGACTCAACTTCAGCACCCACATTCAACACATAACTAAGAAAGTCTCTAAGACAGTTGGTATACTCTCCAAAATCAGATTTAT